ATCTGGTAATATCCACTTTCAAGATCAATCTTACTAAAACATCTACTACCACCTAACCTATCCAGTAAGTCATCAACTCTTGGAAGTGGATAGTTATTTTTTATGGTGATCTTATTTAAGGCTCTATAATCAATGGACATCTTCATTTTTCCATCCTTTTTGCTCACAAAAAGAACTGGAGCTCCAAATAGAGATTTACTTGGTTTTATATACCCTTTTTCAAGCAACTCATTAAGCTATGCTTTGAATTCACTGAACTCTCTTTGGTTTAATCGATAAGGTGCTCTACTTGGAGGTTGTGAATGCGGTACCAAATCTATCTTATGATCTACCACTCTACTTGGTGGAAGTTGTTTTGGAAGTTCTTTTGTCAAAACATCTCCATATTCATTTAAAAGATCAGCAATTAAGTTTGCACAATAAGAAGTAGTTTTCATCAAGTCTTTTTTATTAAGAAAAGAAACATTTTTTACATCATCTACGGGATCCATATCACAACTTCTCAAGTGGAAGAGAAATTGTTTCCCTTCTAATTCACTCTGAGATACTATGGAAATCCTGGATTGATATAACATGGGGAGGTTTGTAAATGGTAAGTTTACTACTTTTTTATTTTCTCCAACCATGACTACTTTGGTTTTGGGCTTCCATCGAAATTCAATTCCATAGAAGTCCGGAAAAGTATTTCCGAGAACTACATCTATTCCATCAAGGTTACAAACTGTGAAGTCTTCTTGAAACCTATGGTTTCCATACTTAAACTTCACATCTTTTACAACTAAGTTGGTCACTTCCTTGCCTTAAGCAAAGAAAATCTTCACCCTCCTAGTTTCCTCCTAAATCAACTTGAGTCTTTGGACACAAGTTGGATTCATAAACGAGTTGATTGCCCCTGTGTCAATCAACATAGAAGTTTCATAATTTTCAACTTTAGTATCAAGATAAATGAGTTTCTTATGCAAACTAATGGCAGTGAGTTTTCCTTAAAAATCCCCTTTCTTAACCAAAACTTTTTTACTAAGACTCATAACTTGAAGACAATCTACTTCAAGAGTCTCATTTGACAAAGAAGCATTAGGAAGTTCACTTACCTTTCTAGGCACTTCTTCATTCTTATATTCATTTGCATAGTGTTCCTTTTCTTGACACTTAAAATAAATTACTTTAGAAGAACTTGTTTTTGCCTTCTTAGTACTACTCCCTTGACTTTCTTTAATCTTAAGTTTCTCAACTTGAGAAACACTTTCTTCAAATTTCCTCTTGAGAAAAGGTGATTTTTTACTTCCATGGAAGGGCCTAATTCCCCTTTGGAAACTAGTCTTTCTTTCCTATGTTTTAGTCATAGTGCTTTGTTCACTATGACCCGCCCCTTATTCCTCCAATTCAAGTTAACAAGCCAAGGCAAATGCATCATTAATATTTATAAGTATGGTTTTTCTTTTCCAATATTTCTTTCCTGTAACAATACTCAATCCATTATAAAAAAAAAGCAATAAACACTTTTCATAGTCCAGTTGAGTATAGGTTAGTTGGTTTTGGAACTCACCAACATACTTCAGAAGTGAGGCTTTTCCTCCTTCTTGCCTTAATTTGAGAAGTTGCAATCTTTCAATGAAGTTTTGCCACTTACTCTCAAATCTAGCTATCAATCTCTCACAGACTCGAGCCCAAGTGGTTTCTTTGGCATAGTTAGGATTGATTTTGATTTCTTCATCAAACCAATCTAAAGCACTTCCCTCCAGTAATGTAGACAAAGTCCTTATTTTATCCACATCCCTTTCAATATCATTGGCCAAATGCCAATGTTCAATTTTCTTAAGAAATCTCCTTACAGTCTTTTTGTGCTCTACGCCCTTCTACTTTTTTGGTTGATGAGTCTTGACTTTGTGAGAACTTAGCTTGCCTTTTTGACCTTCAAGTAAGGCCTCTCTTCTCACATTTTCTCTCATCAAGGAGTCTATCAGAAGTTGGTTCATCTCCATCTTCTTCTCAAACTCCTGGTCTCTCTCTTCCATCAACCTCATGACCATTTTCTCAACTTCATCAAGGGAAACAACTCTTTGTTTCTCTACTCTTGATTCTTCTATTGAGTCCTTAGAGGTCTTGGAAGAAGTAGGTCTTTGTGATCTAGGATTCCTTCCTTCTTTATCAATATCTTCCTCATCACTATGAGATTTTTGAATTTCTTGCAAGCTTTCTTGAAACTTCTCTTGCTCTCTTTCAACTTCCTCTTCACTATCCATCACCTGGATGAGAGAAAGATCCTCTTCAAGCAAAGGTTTCTTTTTCACCAAACTCATTTTGGATTTGGATTTGGCTACTTCTTGACCCTCTTGCACTTCGGTCTCAAGGATCTCATCCTTGTCCAATAGTTGAAAGGCAGTTTTGGTAGTTTTCTTCCCCATCTTGTGCCAATGCTTCTCTTGCCTTAGTCCAAAGATTGGTTCCAGAAATTTCCCTCCAATCTACTTCTCAATACCGATCTAAAACAAGCTCTCATACCACATGTAACGGTTCTCCTCTTGCTGGTCACTCGATTTCACCCTGAAACGCCACCAACAAGAAACCCCATTAATACTGGCCCTGTGAACTGGACCCTACTCCCGGATACTGTCACCACAGTCTGGTCTCTGTAACTCCAGACTCATGCCGCCAGCAAGCTAAACTCCGGTGGTCGGTGTAAGTCCTCCTGACTCTTCCGGATCACCCGGGACTCCACAGGGACTCCAAAATACTCCCCCTCACACCACACGCTGCCCCCGCATCGTGTGGTTCCTCGGTGTGAGGGAGGTGGCCCGCCCATCCACTCCATCGCCACCTCGCCACGGCTTTCCCATGGGCTTAGAGATCGCGGGGGCTCCAATTACCTTTTGACTCAACAAGAAGTGTAAGAGTCAGATCCTTTAGACCCTTACACCATATTGCTCGCTATACAGCTCCAGCATCGGAGGGATCGACGCCGAGGCTTCGATGTTGAGAGTTCCTTAGTGATTTAGGGTCTCGTATCCCTTCGTGCTCCTGCTCTCAATTCGCCGACGTCGTAATAGGAGAGGCGTTGTTCGAGAGAGGAAGAGCGAGAACGAGCGGAATTGGGTTACAGGGAAGGGAGACCGGGAGTTGCACTTGGTGGCGAAGCCTTTTGTGTTTTACGTTGTGTTTGAGCTGCAATTCTTTTGATGGAGGGGCAGACGGGATACATCCGCCGGCGACGTGGTGATAGGTGGACGGTGCAAGTGCGCACGAATCATGGTGGAAGAATTTGGATCGGAACCTTTGGCAGTGTAGAAGAGGCGCAGTGGGCGTTTAATGCGGCTGAAGTCCTGACAGAGAGGAGGATCTACGATGCTGAGGCCTTTGGACACCACGTATTTCGAACACACAAAGATCAAGGTGTTTCGTATGAAGAATTTGTTAAACTTGAATCCAAAAGGTACTCGGTATTCAAACAGCACGAGCCAGAAGTGAACCGCTTCCTGAATAGATTGCCTGGCCAGCCCGAAACAGTGCCCCAAGTCGTTTCTGACATAGCGTTTACAATCATTGCAAATGAACTGAAAGCAGAGCTTGTACCTTTGAACATCGACGAGCGGCAGTTTGGTGCCGCTGAAGACCTTGTGAGTATGGAGAAGTGGGCGTTTGATGCGGCAGAATACCTTATGGGGAGGAGGGACTACAATGCTGAGTACTTCGAGAATCATCTATTTCGTGCTCACAATGACCTAGGTTGTGCGTTTAGGGACTTTGTTGTAAGTGAATCCCTAAGGTACGCCTCTTTGCGCAAGCTGCTGCTGCTAGTGGACAGTTGGCTTAATACATCACCCAACCAACTCGATATACCGGATCGGATTATCTAAGATGAACCGGAAGAAGCGGGTCAAGGTAGCAAAGAGGACGAGATTCGCTATCTGTTCGATCAATTCAATGACCAGATGAGCACGCTCCCATTCTGGACGCCTCAAGCGCAGGACTTGATTTCGAAGCTCAAGGAAGATGTTTTATCCCGTTTAACACTTAATGGATAGAGAGGAGCGGTGAGCAGGGGCTCAGGTATAGCGTTCATCCTATATCAGAGATTTGAGGACCGGACAAGTCTTGTTGGTGGGCTGTATTTTAGTGCACAACTTTCTCTATTCTGTGCCATCGGATTTAGGGTTTCTTTCTGTGACCACTGATCAAGTCGAATGTTACAAATCTTTGAGATTTGGCTTCAGCGCATTCGCAGAAAGACGTTAACGTCTACAGAGTTAAGGGTTAAAAGCCTCAGGCTAGGCACACATGAAATTTCTGTTCGGAAAATTTTGTGCTAGCGTCACAGTGAAGATGTTGAGGACTTCAGAAGTGGGGAGCTTGCTGTGTTTCTCTCCATTATAACATACAGTTGTTAGAATCGATAATGTGTATTGCACAGTTCTTTCATTTTGTTTACCTTGCATGTTTGTGTGCAGTAAATGTTTGTTATGTAATTAATAGTTAAGATGTCGATCATGACTGTGTTTAGTAGTTGTAAATTGGTTTTACATGTATGGATGAGTTCAAGCGAGATCGAGGAATGGTGTTCGATGTTATGAGAATCTGATACTTTTTTTTTTATATAAAAGCCTTATATTTGCATCTAGACTTTTAAATTATCATTTTGGCCTTTTGATATTTTTATTCAGTGGCTGCCAATGCATCGGTACTCATTTTACATCTTCTTGACCTTTTTCTTTTTTTCTTTTTTTTTTTCCTTCTTTGAGTTTGATTTTGGAAGCAGAACTTAACATAAGTATATTAAGATTTGTGCCATCAGAACTACTATTGATCCTCACTGTTGGTCAAAGAAATCTGTCTTCCACCCACTAGTGACAAAGGAAAAAAATAAATCAACAAATCCAAAACTCTCATAGCATATGAACCAAGCTATGTTCTGTCACGCAAGAATTCGCCCCTCAATCCATTCAAGGCCTTCATCCAACACTTCCCAACATGTGACACAAAGCAAACAAAGAACCCACGTTGAAATGCGCAAAGGTGGGAAGCCCTAAAAGGAACCACCCACCACTGGAATTCGCAAGCGGGGTGGTGGTGGGGTACTATTGCAGTGTCGGAATATCTGTATTGCGACGGTATTTCTGTAAACGGGGAGGAGGAAAAGGGGTTGGTTGGTTGCTTGATTGGCAATTTGCAGTCAAATCATTTCATTCTTTTTCTCGACTTGTTTCGGCCGCGATGCTTCGGATCCCAGGTTTAGAATTTGCGCTGGGTGGGGGCTCACTTTAGTGTGTTGTGGTGTTTTTTCGGCGATTTCTGTGGTGGGGCGCGTTGTTTGCATCCGGTCTGCCCTGCCTGCAATTGGGTGCCCCTTACCCGCCCGCTCACCCGCTTCTCCGTCCGTTATTTTTTGTGATTTTGCACCTGCCCTTATTCATCAATAACTGAGAATGTCTCTTACTTTTTTCTTTTTGTTCTTTTTTGCTCCTCAGGGTTTTCGTTGTGGGTACGAATGCAAGCATAGTCTGAGTTACGTTTAGGTTCCCCCCCCCCTCCACTGGGCGATGCAGGAGACCCCAGGGGGCTTAGCACTCTGGAGACTCTCGTCCGCTGCCAGTTCTGGTCACATGGTTTACCATGTCGGCTGCCCTTCGTTCACTTCTCTCGCAAGTGTATTTTGGCTTTTGGCATACTGGATATCCTTCGCTTCAGCTTCGCTGGGCTCAGTATGTGTGGGTTACCGTAGACTCGTTTTGAATGGCGTCTTCGGACGGTTGGAGTCGGGGGATGGTGAGCGGAGCCATGCAGTGTGAAGAGGTGCTTGGGGCTTGTGGATGACGACAACCACCGAATCATGGGATTTGTGCAAGACCAGTGTCGATGATTTCAAGTTTCTCCGCGCTTTTGGGCGTGCCTCGTTGCCAGCGCGCCTTTTACTGCGTCGTTTTCGGAAACGTATTTGAAGGCGGTAGTGAGTTTAGTGTTTGACGTCCTGGTGCTGAATTTTTGCACTGTGACCTGATCCCTTTAGCTTCATTGTATATTTCGGGTAACGCTTTCTGAAGAAGTTGAGTCACCTGCTGCGCATGGTTTCTTTTCATGTCTACAGGTTAGTTATCCTCGATTCTCGAATGAGACGCACATGAATGGTGGCCTCTGATCTTTTCAGTTTTGCAAATTTGATGTGCCGTTAAGTGCACATGCTAGATTGCGATAGTTCCTTTCATCCTGTCTATGGTGGTTTAAACGTGCGTGAAGGGGGGTAGTGTTTGGCCGTGCACGTGTCTAACATGTCCCCTGTTGTTTGGGTAGCTTGTTGGGTTCTTCTTGAGTTCGCCATTAGATCTCCAGTTTTCAATCATGTCATCCTATTGTCCTCGCAGGTAGATGGGACGTGGCGGGGCTTCTATTTTGTTTATTTTAAAAGCTAAGCTATCAACGGTGATCTACAGTTGTGAGAACCTTAAGTATACTGAATCTTTTGGAGGAATTTATGCTGGGGGATATGTATGATAGGTGGCTCACGTTGGTCCACAAGCATGGATTGAATTACCGATTGTTGTGAGAAAAGTCGCAACGGAAGGGTTAGACACCCAGGATTTTGATGAATAAGTTGGGGATATGATGCTGCGAGAGGTGGAGTGGCGTTCTTTACTTGTTTAAAAACTTAATCTCTTTTTAAAATCACGTATTCATAATTTAGAAATTACGGTATGTCACTCTGGTGGGCGAGGGTGTTCGCTGGTATGTGTCGTTCAGTTTGATTCTAGCATTAGTGTAGCCAGCGAGCTCTCATCTTTAAAAAACAAAAGCATGTTCATCTACAGATCTACAATGTAGAATGAAGACTTTGGTAGGGATGCAACCCTTTTCCAGCAATTTTAATATCTTCAGGTGACGGAGCTTTTTAGTGCTCATGCGCCTCTTGCTGGTACTACGAGTGATATCGATGGTATCTCGTTAGTTGTCTCAGTGGGCGCCACGGCTGTAGGACCTAAATGAAAGAGTGCCCTGGGTCACACTGCCTGGTAGGCACGTGGGCTAGTTATTTTTTTTTTTTACTGATGCAAACTGTTTTCATTACTGCTGCCGTGTCGAAGCTGTGTGTTTTAGATACTGTTAAGCACCGTGCCTTCATTGAATTAGGATCTGCGAGGTTTGCCCAGATCCTAAATTTTGTTGTCCCCAATGATAGTGTTATAATGTGGACAATATTTTCGTACAACTTAGACACTGTTGTGGAGTATCTCCATGTCCCTATTTTTCTGAGTGGTTGTGTAAATTTCAAGCGAATTTCATCAGCAATCATGTTAGTAATCGATCTATCGGCATGATGGTGATGTGTTTTCTGCGGTTTATGCCTGTTTGTTCCAACCATATCCAGGGCGAAATTCACTGTTTTCTCGTTCTGGATATCATCATACTTAAGTATAGTGAAATTCTTCGGGCATGCGTAAAATTCATCATAGAGCTTGCGGAGACGATTGTTTCGTTGACTTCACTAAAGTACCTCCATTTAATATTCGAACCTTGTGGTCATCACCTGTTGGATTTTGTGCTTGGAAAGTATTTATTTTGCTTTGATTTTCTCGGTATTCTTTGATTGATTGATTTATTTATTTATTTTTGTGTGTGTTATTGCAAGGAAGAGCTGTGGACTGCTTTGGACTATATCTTTTTTCAACTATTTTTCTATTCTCTTTTCACATTTAGAGGTGCCGAGCGATTTGCCTTTTTAATGTAGATTCGCTTTCAATGCAGAGCCGCAGTAGAGGCATGGAGTACGCTGGGAGAATTAAGAACAAGGACCAGTTCCATTTTTTCACTGACAAGCAAAAACAACAGATTTGTGAGGCATTCGACCTTATTGACACAGATGCCTCTGGTATACATGATCAACCCATTTCAATCGGTTGAATTGTGAACAAGAGCAACGTGATGGGAGATGGGATATTCAATCTGGCATATTGACCGATAAGTTCATGCGTGCGTCTCTATTTTGCAGGAGCGGTTGACTCTAAGGACCTGGTAGTGGCCATTAGGTGAACAATCCCTCTTGCATGTACTAGTAATCCGATTGATCTTAAAACCCATTATATCCCACCGGGAATCACAGAATTTTCTCAGTAATGTGTACCTGATCCTTTGTGTTTGATCTCACGTATCAGCTAATTGCTGTATTATTTGTGTGGCAGAGCCCTTGGATTAGAACCCAAGAAAGAGGTCAGTTTACCCCTCGTTGGCCATTTCCTGGAGAGTCTTCCACTTGAATACTTCCAGATTTTAGGAGTCTTACGTGAAGTGTATGATTCCATCCGTTAGAGCTGCTTCTTGGCTAGTGCTGCTCATTGTGGACACTTCATTTCAGATGGAGACCGTGAGCATCTATGTCTAGATGATATTGCATCTGGAAAGCGGATCAAGTACACACTTTAATCGCTACATGCTATTGCAGGATATTGAGAAGATGATCTCTGACATAAGCCCGGATAGAGGTGGTACCATTGCTTTTGAGGAATTCTCGCAAGTGGTGACGGCTCAAATGCGAGTGCGTGACTTCAAGGGTGATTTCCTCTCTTCAACTCACAGCATAGGATGGCTTAGCCCGCGCATATCTTTCTCGACTGGCATTGTGGACAAGACTTCAGTGCGTGAAGTGGAGAAATTCGGAAATAGTGCCAATGAAGATCAAAGGAATGCTGATGATCGCACTCTTGATTTCGAGTTCTGTATGGGATCTTCTCCTCAGGATCTTGTGTCCGGCAGCTGTATGTTACCGGCAGATGAGCTTTTTCACCAGGGAAGGCTTCTTCCCCAAAGCCAACATCCCTCTCTCCCTCGAGAAGATAAGGTTTCTGTAAGTTTTTCTGGACCGCTGGATACGCTCAAAGTACCTCGTGTTGATTTTGCCCTGTCATCTCAAAGACAACATAATTCGGGACTTAGTAGGTCAGGTCCATTAACTCGGGGGGAAATGAACTTTTTGGAACCTCTTCAAAGGCAGGAGAAGAATCATTTTAGATTTTCAGGCCCACTGGACATGCGATCTGCCCCTCCTTCAAGGTTTTCTGGGCCCTTATGTGCCGGAAATGCAAAAATATCATCTTCAGTTCCTTCTGAAGGTGCTGGGAAGCCGAAATCTCAAGCTTGGGAGAAAGTGATTAGCCTTCTTAGAAGAGCCCGATCGGATAGTCATAGAGACCGGCTATGTTCTGATACGGAGCCAAGATCACCTCCTAGCAAACAGTCTACCCCAGCTCAGAAGAATTTTGTCTCCGCCGCTAGCTCCTTGCGCTTGATCTTTCGAAGGAATTCTTCCATCGATAAAAGCGCGAAAACGACCCCTTCGGTTCCTTGTTCGTTGCAAATGAAAAGTATTGTTAGTAGTCCTCCGCCCTCAGGGTCTCGAATTGCGTGGTCACCACCACATCCCGCAGCGTTTCATACTCCACCTGCCCAGGCTACCACCAGCAAACCCACTGGTTTAGCTGCTCTTCATGTGGCGTCCCCAGTTTATCCTACGTCTTCAGCCCATGAGATGGACAGAGATGTTGAAGTAGACACGTGGAGCTCTTCCGCAACGGATGTGGATTTAAGACCAGGTTCTGTGAGGAATCCATGGAGAATGCACGAAACAGAGAGTTCCTTAGAAATGACTTTCGACAAGTTTGATCAGGTGAATTGCACGGATGTTAAAAAGGTTGAGAGAAGCCTTGGAATTACAGCGGCAGCAGCAAACCCTACTCGGATCGTATTGAAGAATCTGGAACGGTGTAGTAATCCGGCATCTAAGGGTGGCAAGGGTCAAGATCAGCTCAGAGCTTTGAGAACAAGGGAAATCCGCCGCAGTCCTGAGAGATTGGCCTTGTACACTTCAAGCGTTAGGGTTACTCCTGTACTCAATGTTCCCGTGTGTATTGCACCCACCATGCGCAGTTCTAAGGCTGCCAAGGGTCGGCTCGCCAACTTGCGATCTTTATTGTCACTTAAGAAAGAGAAGGATGAAAAGTCTTTGTCAGACCCAGCGATGGTGGCTTAGAAGCCAGTTGCGACAGGAGTGGAAGGTTTTGTACCTTTGATGTCTCAAGTTTCTTCTGGTCAACTTATACACATAAGTGCCGGGAGCTTGAATTTCCATAACAGTTAAGAAATTCTGACTTTGTCTCCACAACAGCTGCAAGTGTGGGTCGAGTTTTAGCGACCAGGAAAGGACCGTGCTCGAAGCTGTTCATATTACACAGTCCTCCCCTTTTATAATTGGTATTGTAGCCCTATGAGCGCATGGCATCCAACGAAAGAGTACCGCGCCTGCGCTTTTAGACAATGACCCTTATGATCTTGTAGAATGGCATTTCATCTTTAGCTATGGAGTTCGTAAGTTGTGAAGAAGTTCACCGGTTTAAAGGCCGTAGCTTTCAGTTACGTCCGTAGACAATGCCTCAGAACCTTGAGTTGAATATTCCACCCATTGTATAGTGATTTCCCAGGCACTGCGTCAAGATGTAGGCTCGAGGCTGTGGTGCAGGGAAGAGTGGCCTTGTCTACCACCTTTGTGAGTGTTATATCTTTTTCACTCAAATATGGTGATGGTGCTTAGTTTTGATGGAAACGTCTCCCAACTCGATAATGCGGAGGTCACTGAGTTGATTTAACACATGAGTCGGGGCTTTTCCATTATGTCCAATCATACGTGGATCAAATCTAGGATTTCATAATGGATTCACAACCAGCGAATGTTTGGAAGGATCGTACAGGTGTAGGCGTCTTCAAGCAGGCAATCAAATGCTACTTTACATAAGTTCGAGGTGCCCGCCACCATGAGATGAGAGCAGAAGCTTAAGGAATATATAACCCTGATTATATTTTAATCTTTTTTTCGACAGGTTTTTTGTAAAGCAAAACAGGACTGGGTCCTCGTCAACGTAGGTCACTTCTAGAGAGATTGATATCTGGGATTCACCGAGAACACTCCCAAACAATCAATGGTGATGGTGCTTAGTTTTGGTTGCTTTCCAAACATGTGCTTCTCACTAGTAGTAAATGCCTCCATTCATATTCTGAAAACGGCGAGTATTGAAGTTATAAGCAAATGTGTATCAATGCACCCATTGCTTTTGCTGAGCGGCTTGGTAGACATTGTTATTTTATCCACGCGTCCTTGTGACATAGGGGATTGACTTAGGTTAGGGCACTATACCAGAGTGGACTATCTCAAGCGATTGTGCTGCAGATGTTTTAGAGATGCTGGTGTTAGAACCTTCAAGTTTGCTCAGCTGCTTCTCAATTTAGTTCTGATCTCGTAAATAAGCACTGGAGGACGATATTGATTGGAATTAAATGAGTGGGAAGTTAGGGAGTTGTGGTTTATCTAATTGTTGCAGTTGTGAAAATTTGTTCGATGATAGACTTCTTTGCCCTCAGATTTGGGGGGAAGGGACTTGGGTGGTTATGTGGAACGTTTTTAAAGCAGCGGAACGATTGCTTAGCGTCATATTTGCTGTTACACCGATTCGGATGTGAATAAACCACTCACGCTGCAGGAAGTGCGATAATCTGTATTTGTCCGTGTATGGGTCGTGATCCTGACAGTGAAAGCCACTTGTTACTAGAGAAAGTTAGATTCATCGGAAGATTTTCTCCTACCCTGGAAGACGACGCAGTTTCGTATCAGCATTGATTTCCTCTGTCATCACAAGTACACGAAAATGAGACGAAAATGGACAAACCTTATGTATCACTCTGTAACTTTTAGTTCATTGTTTTCTAGGATGGAGACATTCCAATTCAGTTTGCTACAACTCATTAGTTTGCAACTTGACTTTCACAACCAATTGCGCGTATCTGTAGTCGTACCACTATTTGTGAGGTGATGGGACTTTTGCATTTGTCCATTTCTTAGTATGGTTCATGTACAGCAGTGAAGAAGAGACTTGCACGTGTTCTGCCAACCGAAGGATCAAGACTAACTTCCCATACGCAAACTCAACATAATTGATTCTCCTCGCAACGGAGCCGTCTTCACGCGGATCGGTTCTTTTCCTGGGGTAAAAGGAAAAAACTGTGAAATGAGCTCTATCTTGTGACTCTACGTTAATTTAACATGACCCTTTGTTCCGGAGAGGTCTGACTGTGCTACGTCAAGCGCGGTCTGGTCTCTCAATTCATAGCTCATGCTGGAACTGCCAGCACATCTAATCCTCACCTGCTCAGAGTGCAACAGGGTAATACCTTCAAATTGCATGCATACAGAACAGTTAATAGTCCAAGAGCAGAATTTCCTGCCAGAGGTTTAATTGCATCAATCAACCGCAAAAAAGTCTTCCTATAAAAGAGCGCCGACGGTAGCACAATAAGTACGGAAGTATTCAACCTAATCTTTCGGAAACAACCAAGTTACAAGGATCGGGTGCGTTTCTGAAAGCCAACAAATCAAGCAGCACAGATGGAAACAAAAAGCTATGCCAGCTTTGAAGACACGCCATCAAGCAAGGATCTCATGGAAGCTTAAGACTTGTAAAAAGAAGAAAAAGTAACATATGAAAAATGGGCAGTCAAGGAGACTCGTTCGCAACTTACCATTTTCTGGGTCCGCAGCACAGTTGAGCATCCTAGGAAGGACGACGACTTGGTTGTCCCATCCCGACCCCATGCTTGCGACGCCGGGGGGCCCTGCGGAAACACTGCAGTGCTTCACGGCGACGCTTTACGGTCTGTTACCAATCAAGTCCACAACAAGCATCCAATGGACAGATAATCTTCGACATCTGGACTTGCCGCAACTGTTTTCCACAATCCTGTTCATTATTGTCGAATGAAGGATTCGAGGTACGTTTGATACCCAAGAGCGCCCAGGCCGAGTAATCCGGGTAACCCGCCCTGATTCTGTCCGCAACCCTCGTCGGGTCCGGCAACGCACAGTGATACTCACTTTGAAAAGATTTTCCTTCCTCGATATTTCGATCACTGCCGTCGTCAATTGAACCGAGTTGTTGATTTCCGTGTCTCAACTTCGGAATTCCGACGCTTGGCTAGACCTTCTCGAACGTTATCGTTTGCACCAGCAGTATGCATTGTAATTAGCACAGCGGAAGGTTGGGATGTAGATATTTGAGACTGAGGTGAGGGAGTTTGAGGGGTTTGAAGAGATTGCAGGGATTGAGTATGCTTGTGCAGATTGGTGTTAAGCTGCGAGGATATCATCGAGGAATTGAATCGCAAAAGAGACGATGGGAGGCAGGGATTGGATAGAGTGAGTTGGTGCTTCTTTTTGCCGCACATGTAGTGTGGAGCAGCTGAGAAGAAGCGAAGGAGATCGAGGTGTTAGAAGCGAGCTATCTGCCACAATGCGGGCAGCTCATGCGCCCAAGCTGATCGTGGATGCGCTCTTGCAGCGCTTCCTGCCACTTGCACGCAGGCGTGTCGACACTGCCCAAGCGCAGGTTAGCTTCAGTTCTGGCAAAAGGTTCTTAGAAATTCTTGCACTAAGAATTATTGGAAAATGAGTTTACGGTGGTCGAGATTTAAGCTGGTGGATCCATGCGGATTTGTGCCTGAATTGGTGTTGGATGGTGCTGTCCCTTTTTTTAGTTTTTAGTTTTTATAGTTTTTTTGCCCAGTTTGTGAAGAGGAGGAAGTTTGATGCGATTTAAATTTAAAGCGTCCTAATTATTAATTATTTGGAGGTTTCGATGTTCATTCTCTCCTCAGTCTCCCATGCTGCTGTGCAATTGATGGTCCTCATCAGGTTTTCTTTTGTGATATCGATGCACTCGCATTTGCTTTTGTGGCTTGCTGCACCTCAGTGGTTCTTAATTCGATTGGTCAATATGAAAAACATTATGACAACACTTGAGGGACTGATGCTGGAAAGGGATTGCGTTTCAGGATGGGCAGTATTTGCGAGCATCAGATCCTTCTTACGAACAAGTGCTTGATTCCTTGGCTATGGTGGCCCAGCATACGCCAATACCCCTTCTCGAGGCACTTCTTAAATGGCAGGAAAGGTACTGATCAACTTCTGCTGCGTTCGGTCAGGGGACACTCCTTGCTGATTCCGTGATTGAAATGAGGGTTGTGGAGAAAGTTTCAGCATCTATTGACCATTGTGATGCGAATCGTGTTCTTGTCTTTTTTTTCAGCCAGGATGTCTGTGCTTCACTAGTTGCTACCTTATGATAATTTCATTTGTTCATCAGATTATATTCAAATGCTTACAAAACGTCAAGTTAGCTTTAGCGTCCATTATCTCATCGTGTTCAGTTTTTTAAAAAAAGCTAATACTTGAAGCGTGAGGATGTATGGAACTTTTTGGTGTTGTGGTATGACACTGATTATCTAGGTGTTGTTCACAAACTGCAGTGAAACACCGAAAGTGCCAAATGATGCTTCGACTTTCCAGAGGAAGGTCAATTTTTACTTTCTTTCCTCCATTTTCCTTTGAATTTGTCCTCTCAGAAGTGGAGCAGTCACCACGCAAATTCTGATTGATCAATTCACAGAAACACTAAGACTAAACCAAAGGACACACTCTCAACTCCAAAGGACATCCTCATGCTAATGGCCTTGAATTCCTGGATTTACAGCTGGCTGTGGAGTGTATTTTCTGCTCAGCTTGCATTCGGATCGTGGAGTGCTGCCCAGCAGAAGGTCTCACCGGTAAGCTATTCTCAATCCATGAAGTACATCGTAGGTTTTGAGCAATTGCGTGTTCTATCTCTAAAGCTTATTGAAGTTAGCAACAAATAATGAAGAGTAGTTTGCTTCTATAAGTTTATCATTCTCAGTCAGGGTTTTCCCAACCATTAATCTGCAGAGGTACTCTGGGCGGGGCTTGAGAAATTTGCGTTTGATTGGCTACTCAATGCCGACAGGTACGATTTGATACTCTTGCAGAGTTTTCTACCGTTAGAGTTGTGTCCTTGCATTTGCGTGTTTAGTGTAGCACACTTTTATGATTCCATAGGTTATTTATCTTAATCTAATTGGAATTTATTGTGATAAAAGTGCGACTTGGATTGTTCTTCTTTTGCTTTTTCCAGAGCACTGAATTTCTTAACAAGACGTTCTTGATCACGTGATTCCAGCACTTTCATTTGGATTGCTTTAGTGTTTTATGCGAGAACCCTCAAAAACTGATGTGCTTCTGTACTGAGCAGAGTTGTGAGCCAAGCGGAGTATCCATCTCTGATTGACCTGCGAGGACTACTTTTAGACCTTGTTGCACAGCTGCTGGGTGCTCTCTCTAGATTAAGGTATTCAATTTATTTTCACGAATATTTCTTATCTCTGTGTTTACAGCTTGTGTCATTTTATTTAGGCAGCATAAACATCCATTTGTTAAGCGAGCTGTACTCTGATATTTTACTCTCTCGATTATACTGGTTTGTGTAATATTTGATCCCTCATAATATTGTTATTTCTTGTGTAGAAGGATCCCCAATTGTTATCTGGTTGCTTGTTATTTTTACATTTTACTTTTATGTATGTAGTTTTCTCATGCTCAACATGTACGCAGGTTTAGTTCTATTACTGAGCGATATTTTTTGGAGCTGAATACGCGGCGCTCTTATGACACTGTGCGTAGTGAGACGCTAAGCCTTATACATGGGATGCGCTACCTCAAACTTGAGGTCTGTTCTAACTTTGGTTCCTTGCCTTTTTACGGAGGATGTTACACGAAATTATTGCCTTGAACTTGAAAGTATTGGTAGTTTTGATTGGGAATGTCTTAGTCAGCTTTCTCATTTATTATGGTTTTCACTACTCCCACTGGATGGTTATAGTTTATCACCTAATTCGATGGATGGTGCCAAAATGGATGTGTTATTGCTATGTGACAATTTCCCACGACAGTTGTTTAGGAAGTTTGCACTCTTGTTCAGAAATAGATCACTCCCATCACTTTTTTAGTTGGTACGGCTTAAATGCAGTAACTTGCGTCTGACATCTGGAATTTTTGTCACTGGAGGGCAGATGACAACGAGTTCTGGTCTCAATGCTGCTACTTCTTTCATTATTAAGGCAAATCCGTTCGATGGAACCTCTACAAAGAAAAAGACTGAACTTCATCATGCTCTCTGCAACATGTTATCAAGCATCCTTGTTCCTTTGGCAGAGTGCAGAAAGGGAGCTTGGCCACCAAATGGAGGCGATCAAGCTCTAAGCCTTTGGTACGATGCAGTTTTCAGACTGCGGAGTCAGCTCAATCTATGGATGGATAAGCAAACCAAGCATGTTATTGTGAGTGGACTGTCTTCGCTTTTATATATGCTCTGCATCGTGTCATTCTTTTGACCCTAAGTAACGTGGCTTAATATGGTGGCTGAAAAAAATCAGTTTGTTGTTTCAGTCTAGTAAATACAGACGGCTGGAGTCTCTCTATGGTTTATTATTCAACTTCATTATCATCTGGTTAGTGTCTGGAAATTCATATTAGGTACTGGATGTGAATGGCCAATACAGGTTGGTTACCCATTGCTTACGTTGCTCCTCTCCCTGGGAGATCCTCAAACATTTAAAGATTCATTTGGTAACCATCTCGACAATCTTTACAAGCTTCTCAAGGTATTTCTCATCCCCTTCATAGATCACAAGGGTTGCATCTATTTCTGTATGAAATGTCATACAGAATTGCCTTAAGTTTAAGGAAAGCAGTTTTGAATAATTGAATCCAATACCTGAAAGCTTTCATCTACTTATCTTCTAGGTTTTACACTTCAAGCCATTTTCTTGATTGTGTATTTGGGTTGTTTGTCTAAGCAAGCTCTTCAGCATTTGCAACTCGTTTTGGCACCAATATTTTCATCCTACATTCGTTTAGTATATTTTTCATATTATCCGGAACTATACTTGTGAGTGCTGGCAGGACAAAGTGCTACGGTCCATGGCGTTGGATTGTCTCCACAGAGTGCTTCGGTTTTACCTCAATGTACACGCAGGCAGCCAACCGGAAATTCAAGTATGGATCTATCTGAATAGCATATCCACAACACTTTTGTCCAGCTTGAAAAAAGGTTCTCTCACTCAGGACGTACAGCATGATAAACTCGTGGATTTCTGTGTAACTATTGCTGACTCCTACCTTGATTTCTCAATGAATCATATGATATTAGAGCTTTTACGTACTGAGCTGAGTGAAGCCAAAGTTATTGGTCTGCGTGCTTTATTAGCCGTAGTCTCCAGCCCATCACATCATCGTTATGGGTCAGATACTTTTGGGATCGAAGATTTACATTCTTCTGCTACTTCATCTCTTCGGGGTACGTCTACTTCGTGGTCCTATGCCTCAAGCTCGGCTAGTGGTGAAACAGCCTCAGAAGGACACGATATTGGCCCTTACATACCCAAGGTTCGATTTGCTCTGGGCGCTATCATCAAGTCTTGCCATGCAATATTCGGAAATTTGGTAATGACGTCTACCAAAATTACGACAGGTTGGATTTCTGCCTGATTGCGTATTACATCGTCGCTGTATTTCTCATAGTCAAGTCAGCTCGCCCGATAGTTGAGGAATTCTGGGAGGAAATATTTCTTTTTTCAAAAGGTCCTACGCTTTGATACAAATCCTTTATTACCTAACTCATCTCATAATTAACATTTCTTACTAGATAAAATTCTTGGTTTGGAAATCGAGTTTTGTGGCAGTAATTGTAAGTAAATATGTGGCGTAGTCTTATTACTAACAAGTGTAGGGTGTCCAGCTAATTAATGTTATTGTTCTTATCTTCAATTAGGCACTTCATGTCCTCTTTTATTACACATACATAGAGACTCTGTATTCAAGTCTAAATACCAAATAAGATGTTTGTATGACACAGAGCCGACGACGAAAGAGAAATCACAAGGATGGCTTGTATTCCGTTGGGCTCTGAAATGCGTTCCGCATCTTATTCCAGAGCAATGGCAAGCTGAGAAGTTGACAGAGATTATTCCAATGTATGCTATCAGTGTAGACACAGGTGTTAGAGAAGAAGCAATTCAGGTACTTTTTAGGACTGTGCGGGATCTGCCTCAAAGTAGGTTTGCCGTTATGCGGGGGATGGCAAATTTCATAATGCAAATCCCGGATGATTACAATTTATTGATCCATTCGTCACTTGGCCGCTTAGTACAGTTGTTACATGCTTGGCGTTCTTGTCTTGCTGAAGAGGCTTCCTCTGGATTCGTTCCAAGGAAAACAGGAAAAGCAGGTCATTTGTCAACTTTGACAACAATGTCAGGATTTGCAGAGGGTGAAGGGAGCAACTTTGATCCTTCTGGCATGGACGCAGTTGGCCTTATATTTCTTTGTTCCATAGACGTACATATACGACGTACTGCATTGGAGCTTTTGCGTTGCGTGCGTGATCTACAGAACGACATAATTCGCTACACTCATAAAGACACAGCTGGAAAACCTCCTTCATTTGTAATTGATGTCTTCGAGGAAACTGGGGTAAGCTCAGGGCTTGCATTTGTTGAGGTTGAGGATACCAGAATTTTATGCTCTTGTGTTGATGGTATAGACTGCCAACAGGAAAAGGAAAATCAGTAGGGGCCAGCCACTAGTTATTTAAGCTTCGTTTTTCCGAACTTGGATCTTTTTTGTTACTGAAGTTGGGCTAATTAGTTAGGTCCGAGAAGTTCCAACGCATAGGTCTTACATTATCATTTGAAATGTCCTTTAATCATAATTTTTCCATGATCTTGCAAGCAACAATTCATAGATGCGGCTGAATGTATTTAGAGGGGCTCTGTACTGTGCATACTTGACTTAGAGAACAAGGCGGTGAAGATGCTGATTAGTGATGAGATTTTTCAGGAAGACATTGTTCAGCGATGCTACTGGGATACACTGCGATGGTACGACCTTCGGCGTGAGTGGGATGTGCCCCCTGTGGATATCAATCTCCAATCTGTATTAGAAAGTTCCGAAAAGGGGCGGTGGGCACGGTGCTTGAGTGAACTAGTTACGTATATTGCAGAATTGTGTCCTAATGCGATACAAGGAGCCAGGTGCTTTTTAAGCGATCTCACTTTTCTGGCCTTCGTGCTGTGTACTGAATGCGTGTCTGTATACCATCTGCTGGTTGCACAACGCGTGTAGAATATAAAGTGCTCTTGACTTTGAGATATCGGTTATAAGGAGTTCCATTTATCACAAGCAGACTTTCTAAGATTATAATTATGATGATTTGCAAGATGTAGTTTTCTTCAGATGCAGTGCTCACAGATTAAATGACGCTGTATCGATGGATGACAGATTGGAAATCATCTCAAGACTGGCTAATATTACACCCATGGATTTGAGTAGTAAATCTGCGCAATCACATGAAAGTGATAGCAAGCTTGACCAGTGGCACTTGTACTCCATGTTTGCCTGCGGCTGTCCGCCGGAGGACAGCAGCGATGGTGGAATTCGTTCTGTGAGAGACCTTTGTAGGCTTGTATTTCCTTATCTCAAATCTGGAAACGAAGGGCAAGTTGTGAGTCCCTGTCTCCTGATATATGATTCAAAACCATAGGGCCTTTTTAAAAAAGATTAATTGACATTCTTCTGAAACAGTAGTGCTGACGTTTCTATCTTCTGTTTTTTTACATTTCTTGTGGTTTTATCCTGCACTCTACGCTTTATGTTACTGAAGTATATTTTTCACGGGAGCAGCTTGCAGCTACACTTGCCTTAGGGCACTCGACTTTGGAGCTCTCCGAGCTGATGTTCTCTGACCTTACCACATTCGTTGAGGAAGCCACCTCTGAGATGGAAAGTCGACCAAAGTGGAAGGTCAGTAAAATCCGATGGGATTTTGAATTACGTTTCCCTTTCGTAGTTGAGTGTATCATTCCTGGCGTCTGCCTCTTTTGAAGTGTGGCAGATTGTATGAATAGCACCTTTTATTTAACATGAGATAGAAATGACATATCCCCGCTACATAGCTCCCTGTTCAAGATCGAGATTTGTTACAATACACTTACTTTTCAAAGGATCTCGATACATCGGAGTTGATGCAGGTATAGCGGATTTTGTAGTGTTTATGTTTTCCTATTAGCAACCAACTACATTGTAATTGCTCATTAAAATGTGTCTAATTATCTTTAGTCGTTCATAGAAACGACGTCAAGTAGACTGTCTAGCCCTTTTTCATCATTCAATCAGGTCTCAACTCATATGGATATGTGACCAAACATTTTCATCTTCCAGAAATTTTCTCATTCTGGGGTCACGGTTTGCTTGATTATATGACTTATTTGTAAAGCGACGATCCTTGAGTCATGGTTCTTTGAATTGAGCCACGCAGTATTTGTGTTTGCAGAGTCAGAAATGGAGGCAAGTGGATGTTAGGGTCCATGTGGCGGATGTTTATCGTCTGGTGGCAGAGAATGTGTGGCCTGGTATACTGACCCGCAGGCCTGCGCTACGCAACCACTTTCTGAAGTTCATTGAAGAAACAGTTCGTCAGGTGCAAGTTGGGCCGTTTGAAAACTTCCAAGAGATTCAGTCTTTGCGTTATGCGTTAGCTTGCGTGTTGAGATCCCTTGCAGTTGATATGGTGAAGGCACAATCGGAGAGGTAGTAGTCCCAACACTGCTGACAAGCTCATTCTTCATTGCTTATATTTTTAACTGGGCTTGTGTCCTGTTCCAAATTTTAATTTTCAGGCTTTTGTGCAAGTACTTTACATTTTTCATTTACACTAGTTATGTATCTGAACGTAGATGAATATGCTTCCGCGTTTAGTTTGCGAAATAGAATTTGCTGATTTACCTCAAATATTCTAGATTGTTGCTACTCTGCTGGTTTCGACAGGTATGACAAGTGTGCTTACGAATTGATTTTTTCTTTTTTCCTCTGTTTATTTTCTTCGAACATCAAGTTTCTCCGAATCAAAATATTTGATTGATAAATATCCGCAGGTTTGATCTTCGCGACCGCAAAAAATTGTTCGATCTTCTTGCTACATGGTGTGAAGACGTAACGAGTGGATGGGGTCAAGATGGTGGAAGTGAGTATAGACGTGAAGTTGGTCGCTACAAAGCTGCTCAGAGTCTCAGAGTCAAAGATTCCATGGACAAACATACAATTGAGAAGGAAATCAATGATCGTGTTGATGCAATTCAGTGGGTGGCAATGAATGCCATGGCAGCACTTCTGTATGGTCCGTGCTTCGATGATAATGTCCGCAAAATGAGTGGGCGTATAGTGGCTTGGATAAACAGCCTTTTTCTGGAACCAGCGGGAAGGGTGCCAGGCGGCTATTCACCAGCGGAAGCGCGAAACATATCGTCACATTCTAGGTTTGGGATAACTGGATTTCTAGAAGGAATGAGGGGTGGAACTGCTCGAGACAAGCAACGGGGAAGCCCAGCTCGAGTTCTCTTGGCGAAGAGTGCCCTAATGAATCTGCTTCAAAGTAACCTGGATCTCTTCCCTGCATTTATTGATCAGGTATGGCGGTTGATTTTTAAATAAAAACGTATTACAAATACTTAAATAACTCTTAATGCCGTCAATAGTCTGATGGGTGGCATGTAAGTGTCGCAGTTCTAGTCTTCTTGAAGTACTAGTTGACGCCCTATGTTTTCATTTATTTATTTATTTACTTTTCTCGTTGTTGCAGTGTTACTCATCAGATCCTTCCATAGCAGACGGGTATTTTACTGTCCTGGCTGAAGTGTACATGCGTCAAGAAGTACCCAAATGTGATATACCACGTCTACTTAGCTTGATCCTGTACAAGGTTGTTGACCAGTCAAGACAGATCCGGGATGATGCATTGCAAATGCTGGAGACCTTGTCAATTCGTGCATGGGCTGAAGAGGGTGAGGATGCAGGGCGATACAGAGCTGCTGTGGTGGGTAGTCTACCTGATTCATATCAACAGTTTCAGTATCAGTTGTCAGCCAAACTAGCTAAGGAGCATCCTGAGCTAAGTGAAGCACTGTGCGAAGAGATAATGCAGAGGCAGCTCGATGCTGTCGACATCATTGCACAGCATCAGGTTCTCACGTGCATGGCTCCTTGGATCGACAACCTCGACTTCGTTCAACTTTTGGAGTCGGGTTGGAGTGATCGCCTGCTTAAAAGCCTGTATTATGTGACTTGGCGGCATGGAGATCAATTCCCCGATGAGATAGAGAAGTTGTGGATTACAGTGGCTGGAAAATGGAAAAATATCGTTCCTGTACTCAATTTCCTTATTACGAAGGGTATTGAGGATTGTGATTCAAATGCGTCGGGTGAAATCAGTGGTGCATTCGCCACATACTTTTCAGTAGCAAAACGTATAAGTCTCTATTTGGCCCGAATTTCTCCTCAGCAAACCATTGACCAGTTGGTGTGCGAACTGGCACAATGTAGACTTGAGGACCCACCTGAAGCGGTCAAAAGAGCCGATCCTTACTTTGATAATGAAGTTGGCATATTAGAATTTTCGCAAGGTCCGCCTCTTTCACAAATGGATTCCTCAGCTTTGAGAAGCTCCACTGATGGCACCATAAGAAATGTTAGTGGCAATTTGAGCTGGCGAACGGCCACAGGACGCAGCATGTCTGGGCCTTTGAACCAGATGCCAGAACAACTGATCAACGTGCATACAGGACGCTCTGGCCAATTGTTTGCAAGTTCTGGACCATTGATGAGCTTTTCAAGCCCTCTAATGGGAGTTCGAACTTCCACAGGAAGCATGAAGAGTCGTCATTTGTCTCGCGACAGTGGTGATTATTTTCTTGACACTCCTTCTGCTGACGATATCCGGTCCAGTTCTCAGGCAGCAGCTGGTGGAGATCCGCAAGCACATCAACACTGGCTTTCTCGTGCTGATATTGCGCTTATACTTCTTGCTGAAATTGCGTACGAGAATGACGAAGATTTTCGCGGACATCTTCCGCTTCTCTTTCACGTTACCTTCGTGTCCATGGATAGTTCAGAGGATATTGTGCTTGAGCACTGTCAACAGCTCTTAGTGAATCTCCTCTATTCACTTGCCGGCCGGCACCTGGAATTATATGATTCTGGAGATCATGGCGACAGTGAGTACAAACAACAAGTAGTTAGCCTCATCAAGTATGTCCAATCCAAGAAGAGTAGCATGATGTGGGAGAATGAAGACATGAGTCTGACTCGGACAGAGCTTCCCAGTGCTGCTCTTTTGTCAGCTTTGGTGTTGAGTGTGGTTGATGCGATCTTTTTTCAGGTTCATAGTTCTCCTTGCTTCTTCATTTTACGATTGAAACCAATTTTTGTGTTACTTTCTTAGAGCAAAGGTCTCTTAATGCGTTTTATTCTCTTTACACATCAGTTCAGAATTGAATGTGTTAAATTTTGGTTAACCAGATGACATTAGCATTGTCTGATTCTTTCTACACCTTACGTGTACAGGGCGACTTACGTGAAAATTGGGGAGAGGAGGCCCTTAAGTGGGCAATGGAGTGCACATCGAGGCATCTTGCAAGTCGATCACATCAAATCTACAGAGCCCTTCGGCCAAGTGTGACGAGTGATACATGTGTGTCTCTATTGCGTTGCCTTCATCGCTGCTTCTGTAATCCATCACAACAAGTGCTGGGGTTTGTCATGGAAATTCTGCTAACCCTCCAGGTATAACGGGTTTTCTTTTTGGCAGTAATGTGGATTTGTCAGCTCAATGAATTCTGAAGCCACTGGCTAAAGTATTATAAATTGCATCCAGCTTGATCTGATTTGGTAACATTTGTATTGCAGGTGATGGTTGAGGTTATGGAGCCAGAGAAAGTAATATTATACCCTCAGGTGTTTTGGGGCTGTGTTGCTATGCTACATACAGACTTTGTTTATGTCTATACCCAAGTCTTGGAGCTTTTTGCAAGAGTCTTGGATCGGCTTTCTTTTAATGATCAGACAGCTGAAAATGTACTCATCTCTAATATGCCTCGTACTGAAGTAGAACGGGACGATCGAGATTTAGGTCGTCTCGACTCGAAAGGTTTTTACCTTGGTAGTGATAGATCGTTTGAATCTCCATCAAGACAAAACTTTCCTCCTGCAAATAGGGAAGAAGCAGATGCCGACAAGACCCCTCCATTTGAGGGAGTACAACCCTTGATTTTGAAGGGTCTCATGTCAACAGTGAGTCACGCATCTGCTATAGAGGTGCTGTCTAGAATAACTCTGCATTCATGTGACCAAATTTTTGGCAACTCGGAGACACGATTGTTGATGCATGTCGTGGGGTTGTTGCCATGGCTCTGTTTGCAACTGTACAAAGAGGAGAGCGTAGAAGTTTCTGATACGTCACCTCTACAGCAGCAGCTACAGAAGGCGAGGTCAGTAGCAGCAAATATTGCACAGTGGTGTGCCGCGAAGCAGTTAGAGGATCTGGGCGCGGTTTTTTTGGCTTACTCGGAAGGACAAGCAATAACTACAGAGAATTTGTTAGAGCAGGTCGCTCCGCTGCTCTGCTCTGAGTGGTTCCCTGCACACTCAAGTTTAGCATTCAGTCATCTGCTCCTCCTGCTAGAAAAAGGGCCAGTGGAGTATCAGCGAATCATTCTTCTCATGCTGAGGTCATTGGTGCGGTATACACCGATAGAGAGTGCCAGAATTCCCCAGGTGTGTTTAGAATCCTCAGATAAGTCAATTCTGAATTGCATGCCCTATTAAATTTGGGGAAGTTTTTATGACCTTATTTTCTCAGCTCTAGTTTATCGTCTCTTTGTAAATTGCTCTCCCAGTACTTCGCAGCTAGTCGGAATACTTAACAGCAACTTGGAATTGCTGATACTGAGCCATTCCATTTGTCAATCATTTTGCTTCAGGTATATGCTGCTGTATCACAGCTGGTGGAAAGTCCACTTTGCATGGAGGCTGTGAGTGTGCTGGAGGCCGTATTGCAGAGCAGCACTGTGTACGGGAGTGTACATTCAGAGACGCCTCCCACAGCTAATCTTCAGGAAAACGGGACAACTAACAATGCTCCACGCTATTATGCACGTCGTCCTGATGATTCTTCACCAAGCCCTCAAAGAAATATGGCGTCTCAAAACTCGCTCAAGTTGCGTGCACCAGTTCAACACGTATGGACCGGTTCTGCGGGGCCAGTGCCAAGTGGCGGCGTCAGTCCTGTAGCCGCCGACATACTTCCATCCAGGTTCGAGGACACAACCCGTTTCTATGCACTAAGTTCTTGTTGGTTTCTGTTAGAAGGTTCTTTGGCGAGGTGTCACCAAAGAGTTTCAGCCTAATCAAAAGTAACTTCCAGAATATCTATAAGTTTGTTCCCTGCTTGAGAGACTTCTTAATCACAAATACATGTGTACAAAATCATTCGGAATTACACTTGTTTACTGAAACTCCATTTATTTGTGTGCAGGGAGAAAGCATTACGAAATACTCAGTTAGCTCTTGGTCGTGTTTTGGATACATATGGCTCGGGAAGGAAACGTGACTACAAGAGACTTGTGCCTTTCGTTCCCAGCAATCTAGGGATGACCTTTCGACCCGGTAAATCTGATCTTTGAAGATTATATTAAACATGATGGTTCATGCCCATTTAATTACTCCCAGTGTACCCATTAGTGTAAGAAGCTGAAGCTCAGTGAAAAAGAAGGCATTTTACGAGCACATTGTTGTGCTTCTCATCCAACATCCTGCCCAGACATACTTCCACACTGGCCAGGAAGGGGCTACTTACATTGCTGAAGGAACCAAATGCTGCTTACAATGAGAGGTGGATTTCAGAACACCACACTGGCTATGCAGTATATCTAGTGTGCACTTGTGCCCCTTGAGGGCAGTGTTTTTTGCACCACTACAAGAGCTCTGATGATACCAGCAGGGGAGGGATCTGGAGTACTTTGTCATGATGATGATTCAACTTATCATTGCGTGTTAGCCCTTGAGCATGTGGAAGTTACTGTCGATAATCCTGCAATTCTTCAGGTACCTCCTCTTAGATAATATCCTGGATTGTGAAGGCTCGGGGAAGCTTTCTTCACTTAGCTTCTCATCCCACGTTTGCCAGTTCACTGTCAAATATTTAGGCTACATGATTTATATTTGTCTAGAAACTACTCATTCACGTTAGAAGTATTATTCATGTAATTGTCCAAGAGAAGAACCCAAGCAGCACTGTGCTTTGCGTTGTACAAGGCCTCACAATACCCCTTCGAGACAATGAAGTTCAGGTAATAAGTAACAATAGAACAAATTGTAGATTTTAGAAATATTTCAGTTGGCGCTGCTACAGCAGCTACTCGTGCCGTGTTTCCAATGATGTGGAAATTGGCATCCACATGTAAAAGGTCCATAGGAAATTTCAATATATCTTGCAAAAACTGCGAGTCCATTGTCTTGACTTCACCCTCTCTCTGGAATTATTATGTCGGCTCACCTATTCCCAAATTCCATGCATCTCAACTAATTTGGAGCAGAATCTTCACGTCAGAGTTCATGGTCATAGGTCATAGGCCATAGACCATAGTTCAGATTGAAAGGAGCATTAATACCGAAATATAATTGGTTTTGGATTGTTATCCATCTACCCCACACTTGATGCCCTTTTACGTCTCCTTGCGTAGGCACCGAACATCCCTCATAGATTTTCGCGCGTGAGCATGAATCTGGCGCGTTTATGTCGAGCAGGATTTAACGTCGGAATACCTTAAACCGTGTCAGGCCCTTGAACCAACTCGTAGACTTCGTCAAAAACTGCGCTTGTTAAACAGGCTCGAAGGCGGATTGAGCACTTGACATGCGCACGGGTGAGAATAGTCCAATCCTTTTTTCTTTCTTTCTATTTTATTTTCAATTTACTCCTCACTAACGAGATGCATGTATGCTTCTCGTAATCGATTCCCCATGGTGAGGGGAGCCGCAATCCCTCTTCTATCAGCGATGCCGTCCATGCGCAGCCTAAGCTATTTGGCTGCCATCGCTGCTTCTTCTTCGTTGTCGTCGTCGTCGTCGTCGTCGCAGCAAATTGGACGGGCCAGCTCCAGAGTCTCGCACGTTTACCGAGCGTCGCAGCTGCAGCAGACAATCGCGACGACGGCGACGCGAATTGGGGTGGGGCTCCACTCTGGGCAGGGAGCTACGGTGAAGCTCGTGCCAGCCAGAGCTAACGAGGGGCGCTATTTTGTGAAGCTGCACCGCAAGGAGCCAGCGGTGATTGTGCCCGCAATCGTGAACAACACCATCGACACGAGGCTGAGCACATGCTTGGGGCGGAACGGCTCTACGGTGCGCACGGTGGAGCATCTCATGTCCGCATTGGAGGGTTTAGGGGTAGACAACTGCCGGATTGAAATTGAGGGCGGGAATGAAGTGCCGTTGCTGGACGGCTCGGCGCGGGAGTGGGTCGAGGCGATTGAGGAATCTGGCTTGTCCATTGCAAAAGACTACGCGGGTTTTGGCAGTGCTCGGAATGCATATGTACTCGACTCGCCCATCACTGTGCACCAGGGGGATTCGTTTGTAGCGGCGTTTCCGTCGCCCTTCACGCGTCTCACTTACGGTATCGATTTCCCCCACGTCCCAGCGATAGGATTGCGGTGGTTCTGTTGGACTCCATCTGGCCCCAGCTCTTACAAGCACGAGGTGGCACCGGCGCGCACCTTCGGCATTGCGGAACAACTAGAGCAGCTGCGTGCAGCGGGGCTCATCAAGGGCGGCTCCTTAGACAACGCCCTAGTGTGCAGCACGGAGGAAGGCTGGCTAAACCCTCCTCTCCGCTTCGACGACGAGCCATGTCGCCATAAGCTCCTCGACCTCATTGGCGATTTAGCATTGTGCGCCGCACCGGGTCACCCTGGCCTCCCCATCGCTCACATCGTCGCCTTCAAGGCCAGTCATGCTCTTCATGTCAAATTCGGCGCCGCTCTTCTTCAACACCAGATGAAACTTCACAACCTTGTCCAAGTCTGAGCATCACTTCATCACACAACCCGTGAGCTTGCATCGGAATCGACCCCAATTTCGAGGTTTCGTGGACGGTAAGCTTCATAAATTTCACCAGATAACACTGATCCGGCAACGATGTGTAGCTGGAATGATTCGGTGAGCTCCACCGTTTCTTAAACCCTTGCTCGAGGCAATCCGGTGTGCACAGTGTCTCTCCGCCTGCCTCCCTTAACCAGGCGCAAGACAAGCTTAGGGCTGAATTCCTGTGATATTTTATTTTTTAAAAATTTTGTGCCATAAATGTTGCAGTTTTAGAGATGGGTCCCTCGTAATTTGGTGTGTTCGGCGCTAGTTCGAAGTGGCGTTCACAGTTATGCAATCTTTTTTTCATACCATGGTAGGGGATTGTGCGGCATGGAGCTCCAAAGATGCTCATTCAGGTTGAGGATGAGTGTTTTTTCTTTGGTTGTGTGGGTCGTTGCCTGTTCTGAGTGACCGAGGATTGAAGAATTGTTCGTTCACTTTTCTCAAGTAAGAGTTTGTTTTTTATTTTAATTCAATTCCTCTGTTTGTTAGTTTCTCTTTTTCTACCAATTAGTTAGCAATTTGAATGCACATCATTATCCATGATGACGCATTCGTCTGTTTCAACGCCCAAAAGCAAAAAGTGTATTTTTAGCTTATGCATGAATGCAATCTGTAGAAAGTGTATACAATAATAATAATAATAAGAATAATAATAATATTAATGACACTTATAACTAGATAGATTGTGTGTACATATGTACATACGGAAATGTGTTATTTCCTTCATTTATGTTTACTTTCAATTTCAAATGTAGTGTAAAATTAATAAACACATATCTTACTGCTTTTAAAATGAGTTCTGAAACACAAACGTTTTCCATTGATCGACAAACAATTGAATTTCAAAAACATGTAAATTATTAACAAAGATGGTTATTTCAAAGGAATTTAAAAGATAATCACAACACAAAATTTCTGGAATAAAAAGAGGTTGGAAATCGAAACTATGAAAATCACAAAGAAATAAAAATTTGTTCCCTATGTCAATCTGTCTATTTTTGAATGACATACTTATTAATCCTCTAAACAGTGATTAACTTCTTTTTATATTTATTTATTAATAAGATTAGATATGTTCATATGTAATATAATTGATAATAATTTTTAATACTAAAGATACAATAAGAATACAATTGATATTTAACTAATCAAAGATAAATCATTAAAATAATTTAAAAATTGAAGAAATAATAATTGGACAGACATCAATGTGTTTGGATAGCCAAGTCATTTTAGAAATATACATGTATTGTATCTCCTTGGTTTTGTCTACAATTGAGCAAATTGTTTATAATTAATTGAATATCATTTATACCTTTTTCCAAGTTGCTTAAATTCTTCTCTTCTTGTCAAAATAATCCACCATTTCTCTTATAGAATTCCATCAATTTGGTGTTCTTTTTACATGTTTGCTAAAGATATTATATTTTTTGTAATATTCAAATAAAGGATTTGAAAAAATAAGAAAAACACACCTGTTTAAAAAATCCTTTAAAAAACAACATGAATAATAATAAAAAATACATACTAAACAACAATTGAGTGATTCTAAATATATGTGAAGATGATGGCATTCATTCTGCATGTAAAGGTTGCAAAGTACCATGACCATTATTATTCCTAATATTTGACATTGTAAAATTATTTTGGATGTTCTTGTGAAACAATTTGCAACAAAAGCTTCAATTTTTTCACCCACACATTAAAATTAATTTAGTACTATAATAATAAAAATACAAAACAAATAATAACTAATTTTTTTATGCCTCGGTTAGACAAATTGATTAATTGTTGCTTGCAGTAGTATTATCCAACAAAAGAAAAGAGAGATTATTAATACAAATAATTGCCACATTAGTTTTCTAAACTAATATCAATCTTTTTGAATAAATATCAACTTTCAATCACTGTGCATTAATTACACGCTCTATAGTTTGAACATAGTTAACACACACTGTGTATACAAATAGCTTATACTCTCCAATACATTGCATAGATAAGTGGATTTTCAATATTATGATAGACTTTGCATTTTTTCGGTCTGGTTTGCACAAGCAGTTATTAAAACCATTTTAGCATATTTGTTAGTCTTCTAAAGAGTTTGACATTATTTTGATTATAGTATGTACAATGCAACACAAAATCAACAGAAACAAAAGCACCTCTATTATACGTTTAATTTAAGACTATTATTTTCTAACATAGAAGTTGTAAAGCATATTTGATGTATATTTGCATATTTTGAAACACATTGATGTATTGAATGAGACAATATAAAATAAAATGCTTGATAATCATTATTTGTTGTTCATGACTTCAGGCAACATAAATACAATTTGATCCACCAATATGACTTAAACAATGCACAATTTGGTATGTTGTTAATAACACCAAGAGCTGGAACAATATTATTGTCATTTCAAATAACTTTTTGATTAGATTATAACAAAGTGGTCATATCCACAACCAAAGTCTTAGAAATAACACATGTATTATATCCACCTCCAACAATAAAAACAATTATCAAAACTGAGTCCTACTCTATGACCTTACAATAAAATTAGGTCTGATTATAGTCTTGTCTACAATGTGTCTTAGATGCAATGTTGTATTGCAGTATGGCTATTGGATGAAAGAAAAACAGAAGGATTATATCATAAAAATTCTTATTTTTAAATATAGTAGAAAAATATTTTAAAATTAAAGATAAAAATTAGAGAGGTAGTAAAAAACAATTTAGTGATAAATTTGCCTTTTTGGTAAATAAATAAATGAAGAAGAAGGCTTCTACTTACTTTATAAGGCCTTAAATAAGACAAAATAAAGTTGGTAAGAAAAAATAAATTTATAGGGAGCTTTAGGTAAAAGTAAAGAATAGCTTTCAGCAAACATTACCTAAAAAATCTTAGATTTATACATAGAGAGGATTGGTTGTAAAGCAAGGTCAAAACTAGAGCTTGAAGCACAAAATTGCACACTTATGGCAATAGTGAGATTCTTTTGTTGATTAGAAAGTAAAGTTTAAAAGAAGACTTGATAGGGTTTTTTTAAAAGTAAGTTTTAAGGGATGTGAGTGCATAATGGCTTTGTGATAGTTTTGCAAAGTCAAGGTTGTTTTCAATGATTTTTTTTTTTTGTAAAATAAAAAAATCATTAAATTTTGGTAAATTAATTGAATTTTGTACAAATTTATAAGTGAAATTTTGTATATGTGTAAATGTAGTTGTGTGGAATGTTTTTTTTGTAAAATTTAGTTAAATCTAATGATTGAATCAAAATTAATTGAGAATTAAATAAGTTGAAATATTAGAAATTGGATTTTGAAGATAAATGAGAGTTTCTACAATTTTGAGCAATTTACAAGTTGAATTAGAATAGTCTTTTGTGTACTAATAAATAACTTAGTTCATAACATTCATGCAAATTTTGGAAACAAGTTCATAGTTTAAAAGAGAGATTTACAACCTAAAAACAATGCATGCAGTGTTAAGAAACACCATTTTTGGCAATCTTAAATAACATAAGTAAACTTCTAATTATGTTTAATATACCTTATCAACCCTAATAAAATCCTTAAAATATCTTATTCCATTCTAATCAAATTAAAATAGACCTTAAATAATCTTTAAAAATCTTGATCAAAACTTAAAGAAATCTTATTCAACCAAAAAAACCCCCAAAAAAATCCTAATTCTAAAACAATCTTATAAAAATCTAAAAAAGTTATAAAAAAATCTTAAAGAAACCTTTAAATTGACAACTCACTGAATAGCAGCGAGGACACTGCTTGGCCATAAATCATAAAACCATAAACCAGTACTGCTGATTTGAAGGTGACTGGGGAGATTGTGAAACTATTCGCAGTGTCGGTAAACAGTTTTGGTTTCCTGCGGAGCGATGCTGGGGGCCCTGGATCCTGCACACAGGCTGGACCGAGACGCAACACTTATCGCAAAACGGCTTGGTGCTCTCGCTTGTTGTGCTGATCGTGAAAGAATAGTTCGTTGACACAGATCAATACGAATCGCTAGTGCAGCAGATTGGCACCATCCAATCAATAGGTCAAACTACGCGTCGAATTTTCTGCAGCGTCGAGTGTAACTGCGCACATGCTGGGAAGTGAATACATGTGTGCAGGCAGTGAAAGAGCGAGTACGTGAGCCATACGAGGCTCTCACTTTAGAAGGTGCGGTTTTCTCGTCACCCTGAGCTTGTTCAATTTACTGCTGCCGTCAGTCCGACTGCGAAGTAATAGTCCTCACCTCACCTCCATGCAAGCAAATGTAGCGTCGCTCTAAGCTAATGCCATGCCGAACGCAACAAGCCTGGCTGTGGATGCAGCCGTGAGTTGATTTGAATCGTACATCAAATCTTAACACAGCGGCTAAACCCTTGATACCCACTGCCTGAAAGCTGGTCTCCGATCATGTACTTATTTCTGCTGATACTTCCCAAGTCTGCCGATGTTTGTTTGGGAGGAGAAAACAACACACATTCACTGCGTAGTCAGCGGGAGCCATTAAAATCTACGAGCAGTCTTCATCTGCCGGTGGATCAACACTTGGTGGATGCTTTTGCAAGGGCTTAGTCACACGCCACCGCGACAACCTCTTCCGAATTTCCTGGCCATGCTCACGATTCCCTATGACATCTTTTGAAGTGCATGATTCGGAATCGTGGGTTGAAACCGAGAGTCGTGTTTAAGTCCATCTTGGGGCGGATCCCGTAGCACGGCCGGCACGACAAGCGAGAGCACCAAGCCGTTTTGCAACAGGTATTGCGTCTGGGTCCGGCCTGTGCGGAGGATTCAGGGCCCCCAGCACCGCTTCGCAGAAAACAAAACTGTTTACCGACACTGCGAATGGTTTCAGAATCTCACTCGTCACCTTCAAATCAACAGTACTGGTTTATGGTTTCTGGTTTTATGGTTTATGGCGAAGCGGTTTTCAATAGAGGGAGCTGTCTCTATTCGGCCAATAAACGCCAAACCACGCCCGCGGCCTCTGCATCACCGCCATGAGAGCTGGGAACGGGGTATGGGGAACTGGGAACGGGATGGGGAACTGGGAACGGGGTATGGGGAACTGAGAACGGAGGGAGCGGGGCTAAGAACGAGGGTGGATAAATTTAGTAAAAGGGTGGGTTGCTTTAACAATGCACAAGTATTGAAGTTTTTCAAAGTTAAATGCTAGTTAGAATCTTATTTTTCAATTTTTTTTTAGATAATTTAAGTTCATTTTTTATGTTATTTTATTAATAATACTTCAGAAAATGAAAAAATGGTGGTATATTTTGATGTTTTTTTTTTCAACATGCTTAATTTCATATTAACAATATTGTTAACACAGTGAATTTTAGTCAACAAATTAATATCCAAACCTATACAATTGTTCTTATTGATTTATACACAAATTAACCATAAAATTTCTGCTTACACTCAATAAAATAACATATTTGTACAAGGAATTGATGCACTTGACACATTGCAAAATCCACAATATTGTGAAAAAAAACTAGAAAGATGGTAGCTGCTTATCAAATAGAAAGATAAGTGGGAGCTTGTTTGCATGGAATTAACCCAGAAACTAGTTGACTAATGGAATTTATTGCCGTTGACCACAATATGACCATCTTATTCTAGGAAAAGAAAACAATGAAAATTAATAGTTATAATAATAATTATAATAATAATAAGAAGGAGAGAAAAAAGAAAATGAAAAGCGTTGCTCAAAGCTACTGTCTCATTATCTTCGAGAGACTGAACTTTGGTATTGGTCACCACCAACCGCGTTCAACAGCTCATGATCTTTTTATTGATTTAATCTCAAGTAAATACCATCGCATTCAAAGGTTCCAGTGAAAATCTCAACATAAATCGATTCAAAACCGTCTCCATGAATTTCTCCAATGTTTCTCAAAGAGGATGAAACGAAACCAATGATTTCTCGTGCATAGTAACATGGTTCTACAATGATCAACAACCCCTCCCGTAAGAAGCAGAAAACACCCAAACACACACACACAGTGTGACAAATGAACACGGAACAACGAAGTGGCAGTGGATCCATTCGCATCGAGCGCAGTGCCTAATCAAAGTTCGCCAAGCACGAGGCGATGGTGGCGGTATCGACTAGGAGAGCAAGCAAGAAAGGTCGCCGCAGTGGTGCTCGAAGTGCGTAGATTCGTGAGCTCGGCGCGCTCTTCTGTTGCAGTGTTTTTCTTAATGGTATTTGTTTTGGTTCGGGATTGGAGATGGTGGAGTAGACATGAAGTGGGTGCTCGGCATCATGGGGGTTGCAGGGGGGTGCCATAGATGTGGGCGCTGGTCGTAGCCTGACGTCGAGCTGTGCCTCGCACCATGAAGCCGGTCGAGACTGGACAGTTTGGTCACCATCGCGGTGACGGATCTGATCACAAGTGCTGCAGTAGTAGCAGAAGCAGCTGCAGTAATCCGAGAGCAACCCTGTGCCCGTCCTCCAGCGCCTCCGCCATCGCCACCAGGATTTCCCTCCTGATTGTGTGCGCGTTCACCATCTTCCTCGTCTTCTTCTGTGACGATTACACTGAGCATGCGACGACATCGCGCAATGTGTTGCTCATGCACGACCACCCCGCGTCGACCCGAGAACAGAAGCCAGCAGAGCTCGAGCTACAAGAGAATTCTGCCAAGCTCACTAGCTCGTGCAAGGGCAGGTTGGTGTATGTGTATAACATCTCGGAGGTTTACAATCGGGAATTCGTGAGAGAATGTGCCTCGTTTAAGAAGGGGCGGGATTTGTGTATGTACATGGAGAATTTGGGGATGGGGAGGGGATTCGGTTTCGGCGTGGATCATGGGGGGCCCGTGGGTGGGGAGTCGGAGCAAGGGCCGTGGTACAACACATGGCAGTTCGCGCTGGAGCTTTACTTTCACGAGCGGCTGCTGCGGCATCCTTGCGTGACGGAGAGGAAGGACCTTGCGACTGCGTTCTTCCTACCCTACTACGCGGGGATGGACTTATCGCGGAGGTTCACGCATCGGTTGGCGAAGGATGAGTTGTACATGAATCTCGGGAAGTGGTTGCAGGGACGGGAGAGCTGGAAGCTACGCGAGGGGCGCGATCATTTCATGGTGTTGGGGAGAATTGCATCGGACTTTCACCGCGAGGGTGGGGATCGGGATTGGGGAAATAGGGTACCTTCTTGGATTTCTCATCTTCCGTCGTTTTTTCTGCCGAAGTTGCAATTTGTCTAACAGTGGGCCATTATTTCACGAGCTAATTATCTCATGATTGATCTTCGGAGAGGACCCCGCGAGGATTTTGCACGCGGCGAGGAGATTAGGGTTTCCTTTTGGGTTGCAATATGATATGCGGCTTTGTATGCGAGTCTTCCAGATGCTACGACAGAAGGCGTTTAAAGAAATGGTTGTCGTGGCAATCGAGCACACGTATGGAAGATTTAGGGAAGGAGCGTCAATTGACAACGAGATCGCCATACCGTACCCCACATATTTTCATGCCTCGTCGGACGGCGAAATTCAAAGTCTCATCGCCTGGCTTGGTCAAGGCTTGCAGAGAGTGTCGCTGGCGACTATGGCTGCCGGGCAGCGTTCACCCTCCACAAACAAAATGCGGTACCGATTGATGACCCAGTGTGGCGACGATCCTCGCTGCACCTTACTTCGTTGTGTTGGTCATGAATCTTCCTCCAGCCTCCCGGACCAGGTACTACCCTCCTCAATTTCCACCTGGAAATCCTTAAACCCTGAATTTGACCAATAGACTCAATCAACGAAAAACGGGGAATATCCATCATTTTGACGAATTCTTTTTGCAGATAGGAAACATCTCCTCATCGATGAAGCTGGAAGGCAAGACGCTCGACGTGCCCTGCAACAATCCCCAAGTTCTTCTGAATGCGATGCACCAATCCGAATTCTGTCTGCAACCACCGGGTGACAGTCCCACTCGCCGATCATTCTTCGACTCCATGCTCGTGGGATGCATTCCTGTCATCTTTCACAGGGAGGCAGCGTGGTCACAGTATGTTCACCATCTTCCCGAAAACGGCGAGAGTTATTCGGTCTTCATTCCGGTGAGAAAAAACTCGCATCGCCATGCATTAATATGTCGTTGAGGAGAAATTTTTCCATTTTCAATGCAATAGAGTAAGGCCTGCCGCCTCGAGGATAAATATATACGAGTGGTGGCATTGAATGTGATGCAGATGGCGCTAGCGATCAAGAGCAATGTACTCAACATCTTGAGCGAAATCAAGGAGTCGAAGATTAAAGAAATGCGTGCGAACATCGCAAAGCTCATCCCTCGAATTCTATACGCTCGCCTAAGTGAATCACCCACGGGAAAATCCAATTCTGCTGATCAAACTCTGGACGCATTTGACATCGCCCTCGACCAAGTATTGAAGAGAATCACCTCCCGCCAAAGCTGACGCGATACGAGAACCTCTTCGCCATGGCAATTTTTTGTCGTGGTGTACGGTGTAATGGACTGCTGACTCTAATTCAACATGTAAACTACAGAAGCAAACCAAAATTGGGGTTATATTTGGCTCCTGTAGGACCCTCTACAAGCACGATTCTAATCTGTGCAATGCTACTCACCATCTAGCATCGGCAAAGAGCGTGAAATGATGAGAAACCTGCGTAGTGACCAAAGTCCTTGCTCCAAGTGTAGAATCTTTCTACTTTAGATGTGGCTTCATACATACATTGTGTCCAGAAGTTATTTTTTGACTCGACTTTTCATTCCTCAATTCTCCTTTCTCCCACGAGGAGTTGTACTGGGAAAGCTCACCTCGAGTCCGAGGGTAGCAGAGTGGGCAGCGTTAGAGCGACCTGTTGTGGATTACAAGCTCCATCGTTGTCTGCATAAATGCTGCATCATGGCAATAACCGGTCACCGTTCCTGTCCACGTCCATGATCTAGATGCTTGCACCACATTTGAGCTAGAATGTGAAAGGGCTCCGGATTATGAAAATTAATGTGCTAAATAAAACCCAGTGTTCCAACCAAGTTTAAAGACAGGGTTGGGGAACAAGGTGCGTGATTCTACCCCTTTCCCTTGCTTGAATGATCTCGGAGGAAACATATTCGAAAACACGATGCCTCAAGTGTGGAGGTGGAATGCAAGATTACAGAGGCGGTCTTGCTTGCCCTTGAGCATCGACATCGTTACAGAATCGACCTGGGTTCTAAACGTCACACCGATGCAAACGATGACGGGTCAAGAGTGATATCAAGTTTAAAAACAAAGTATTTGAACATCTCAAGTATGCAAATTCCTGCTCCCGCAAACTCCCTCAAAATATAAGAAAATCGCCGCTCAAACCAGTCCCACTGGGTTTGTCGGTATGGATGTATTTGCCTTGTTTTACCGCACCTGGAATTTGAATTGACTTCCATGAGGCGAATGCACAGTCGGTGAGGTTGTTTTCAAACTCGTGTGTGAATGCGACCAGGTTTTACTGTAGCAAGACTTTTTGTTTTAATGGTCACAGGTGGGTTTTAATTTGTATGATTTTTTGAAGATGTGAACAGTTCGTCACATGAAGGTCTTGAGCGAAATATGTTTACGATTTATTATGATTGAATATGTCAACGTGTGTTTTAATTTTAGAATTTAATTAAATTATATGTTTGAAAATAAATGAATTAGCTTAAAAATAAGAGAATATTGACAAAAATAATAAACATAATTGGCCACTGTAAATATATGTAAATAATTCAATAATGTTTCTTAATTACAGCATTGAGGTTATAATATTGTTGTTGAATGTAAACAAGTAATTTATCAAACTATAGTATATCAACTAATAAATGTATTTTATGCATACAGTAAATTAGTAATAGACAAGTTAATAGATTTCTTCATTATTATATGTTTATATATATAATCTGTTTAATTCATTTGATATTTTTAAATTCCTCAAAATAAAGCCAAGCATAGACACAAGGATGAGATGAATATTCTATCAAAGTCTAACATTTCAAGCTTATTTTTTAAGACAGTAAAAATTAAAAAATCACAATATTGAAATAGTTGATTATATTTTTAATATTAATTTTTATTCTTCTTTTTAATTTTTAGAATTTCTTGCATATTTTCAATTTTTTTCTTTTGACTTGATAAGATATTTAAAAAATTAGTTTAACAAATTTTGTCTGTCAAAAATGGATGGCTATTCAAGGACAATGTACTGCTTATAATTTTAGAATCAATGTGAATGTCTTTTAAACAACACGAAAAATGCCATATTTTCAACCTACATCAAGTAGCTTTTGACCCTATTTTTAATAAGAATAAAATTAAAATTAAAAATCAAAAATCAAATAAATAAAAGATATATTAACAACTATAAAAGATTGAATTTGATGGTAAAAACATATTTAGATTTGTCTTGATTTTATACAACACAAAAGATAATAATATAGTCTAGTTGGATAATATTTTGTTACAGTTTTTTAAAATTATAGAATGTTTAAAATCAGATGATATTTATCCATGTACAAATTATTATGATACCCATGCTCAACTCTATCATGCTAAATTAGAATTTTAGAGCTGGATTTCATTTAGGAATAGTCATAGGCAAGCCCTTCTTATACATGAAAATTTACTTTATACTGGACACTTATTCTTAAATAATATATATATATATATATATATATAAACATATATATATATTAATGATTAAATAACTTAATTTTGTAATATATATATATATATATATTATGGTTTTACAAGTATTATCTAAATGCTTTTGTATTATTAAGCAAGAATTGTTATCAATGGATCCTAAATACATCTCTTCTTATTAAAATTTGTACTTAATGTTGTTTGGTCATTGGATCACTTTCCTAATTAAGATCACCTTGATAATAGGACTGTACACTTGCTGTTTTTTAAAATTATATGATCAAAAAAGCATAAGAATTGATGGAAGACAAATATAGGAGAAAAGACAACAACCAATTCTTAACACTAATTAAAGACATTTTGCCTAAATAACTTTTGCAAACACATCTTGTTAAGTTCTAAAAATACAACAATATTTGACAAAAAAAAAAAAAATCTTGATATTTTCTTAACATTCTTCTTAAAGAATATAATGGATACTTATTTTTAACAAAAAAGTGTTGTTGACAATAGAAAGCATTGTATTAACAATCTTAAATTTAATTGTTGAAATAATTATTTAAGATATGTTGTTTAATAACAAAGAATTAATTGTTATAGATATTGCAATGAGAACATTTATTCATATTCACAAAGAATAAAATGATGGCACTACTTCCAAACCAAGATGTTTGACTCTAAAAGAAGCTTCAAATGCATCTTGCATTCTTTGTGTGACATCATTGCATCTCATTTTTTACATTGTAAATGCATGTTGGATGTTTATAATTTCAGCCAATATTTCTACCATTGATTTTAGAAACTTCCATCTTGGCACTTACATTTTTTTTTCTACATGTGACAAACAATAATAAATTGTTGTTGTTCCACTTGCTAGCTATTCTATTCTTTGAAATAAATTATACATTGAAAAATCATTATTCATTGTATTGTGGCATTACATGGTAGCTAATAAGCTCAAAATCTCTCTTAATAAAGAAAATAAAGCAATTATCTTATACAAGATTGATGTTTTATACCTTATTAGTTTAAATGGCATTATAGTGATATTATGTGGTTGTAAGAATAATTTCTAAGACACATCTTTAATTCCTTTGTATTTTCCTATAGACTTAATTAACACATTGATTGTTGATTTTGTGGATTTAGTTTAATTTCACAAGACTCAATTGAAAACAACATATAACAATGCATTTATTCAACAACTCACAAACGAGTATAAGTTTTAATTAAAAGATGTGGTGATTGAACCTATGTTACAATTGTCATTAAAAGCTAATTCAAAAACATGTTTTATCAAGCATGAATTCTATCTAGTTCTTGCTTTTATCACATTTGTTTGTTTGTTGGCAACATTGGTTGTGTTATGCCTATCACATCTTGCATCAAAAACTTCTCTTTAATAGACTACCAACAAGACAAAAATTGCTTAGGTCTAACAAATAACATTAGAAGAGATGTTGTACTCCAAACAATACCATCTATTTTAGAAAGCAAATTTACTAGGAGAAAAAATAAACTTGTACTTTGCTCTATATTGACTCACTAGACTTAAATTTACAAATTTCCAATAATATCTTGCACTTTTGTAATTATCTAAAAAATTCATGTCCTATATTACTTAATGTAAAACAAATATTACAATGTTAATGAGTGAAATATGCCAACACCTGCTTCTAAGCTCATTCCAAACCACCAAACTCATTTAATTCCCTTCTTTCAGTAGGAAAAAAAAATCAGGAGTGAAAAAGCAACTCAAGCACAAGATCATCGACCTCCGATAATCTTGTACTACAACGCGGAGTCCAGAACGCGGGCCCTAACTCGCCGACGCTTTAGAAGCGACTGCGAACGCGACGGATCCAACCTCGAATGTCGTCGGAGGAAACTAACAACCAAAGGCACGAGGGATGATTGGAGGCTGCAATGCTCACAATCGCAACCAACAACAGTTAATCAACAGCATTAGGTGAGCATTGTCATTACGCTGCCGAGGTGAGCTGCCCGCGAAAGGTAATGCCCACCTGGCGAAGTCGCCGTCGAGAGGCATAAAAGGGATTGCGAGCGGAACGACGAATGATGGTTCGAGCAAGGTTCGCAATCCAATCGGAGAGAGTGTGGATGATCGATCGGGCAGCGATTTGCGCTGAGCGTTTGATGCCAAAGCGAGGCAGTTCGTTTGGGGTTTTTTTTGGCTTTCTAATGGGTCTCCGAAGAATTCGTACCAGTTTATGGCTGGGCAAATTTTGTGTGGCGAGGACGGGGACGAAAGCGGCTTTCAAAAGCAGGAGCAATGGTGATTGGAGCTCCGTCGTGCGAGGCTGACGCCGTGAGATGGATGTCGCGTGATGGGGCCCGCGCTGTGGTGGGGGAGGAAGGGGTTTAGCTTGGACGGGCTGGGCTGGGGAGGAGCATTCGGGCCCGGCCCGGCTGGGACATAACCAAGCGGCCCATTGGCGGTGGAGCCTTGTTCCACCGGGACGTGTGTGGCGGAGCTTCAAAGCAAGAGCAGGGGCGGAGGGTGGTCACAGGGATTGATTCAACGCGCGCTTTGAACTGTAGACAAATTGGCCCAGATCCACGCATTACGCGGCACACTTTTACGTGTTACTGAGCAGACTGAGATGGTTGTTGCGGCGCTTTGTTTGGTTACCGGTTGGTGGTTTAGCGTAGGCTGCTCGGGTTTTGAGTTTTGAGTTTTGTTTTTGAGATTAGTCTGCACAAGGTTTTGAGGCAGAGGTGGGCGGGTCTTGGGATCTTAGACAGGTTCCAATGCACGTGGAATCGAAAGGGTCGCATTTGAGGTTTTGCGACAGGGGAAATCGAGTGAGGAGAGAGTTTTAGGGGCTGGGGAGCAGGTGGAGGAGACCTGCCCTTGTTTAATGGTTGTACCGAGGCTTTCTTGAGCAGAGAGTGAGGGTTCTTTTGCGAGTGACAGAGTATTGGTGAAGAGCGTAAGTGGGAACTCAGGAAAGGATCTCGAATGTTGAAGATCCGTGGGCTAGGCGTTTCAAGGAGGTAGCAGCATGAGCACAGTGATTTTGCCTCTGAATACGGTTTTACTGCGTGCTGCCAGCCCAGCTCAGCTTCGTGCACCTTCTCTTTGCACTTATGCTCTGGAAATCGGCACTTAGTCTCACGTTCTTGTAGTAGAGGCTGGAAATGATAACGGACTTTTCCTCTGATACTTTGAAATATCAAAGGGTAGTAGGGTAGACCGAGCATCCGGATCGACGAGGATAGGACGGTCCAAGCAGCTTTGGGTACCACGAAGCCCCTAATTTGGTTTTGGTCTGAAGCGTGGATTTTCGATTTAGAAGATGACGGTCAACGGAGGCCCGCATCTTGAGAGATGCATTTTAGTGACTGGCGGAGCCGGGTATATTGGTACTCACACATCGCTACAGCTGTTGCTTGATGGTTACAAAGTTGTCATATTGGACAACCTCGCTAATTCAAGCGAAGAAGGTCTGCGGCGGGTTGTGGATCTGGCTGGAAAGCAAGGGGAAAAACTTGTCTTTTACAAGGTCTGTAGCTCTGGAGTCCCCTTCTGACGTGATTCATCATCTATTCTACTGTCTTTATTCTCCCTTCAGTTCGAATTTCGAAACTTGCAGTGGCATATATCGCACATTTCCTGTTCGAAGTGTTGTAATGTGATCAACATTGTTTTAGAGAAAATCTGTAAAATTGCAGGTGCAACGTCAAACTACCAAATGTAGTGTACGTAGTTGGAAGGGGTTTCATTTTTTGATAGTACCGTTAGATATACATTGCTTTCGGAACTCAAATTACATAGCCTTGCAGAGATTACCTGGTTGGACCGAGTCCTTTTCATAGTTTGATTGTTGTGGTTACATGCAGTGTAGATAACACAGATAATTTTGCATAAATTCGCCCAATTCTACTAGCATTACCTATCAGATTATACTCTTCGTAGGCTGCTGATCTACTATTAAGTGCATGAACCCGAGGTACGATAGTCTTTATCAAGCTAGAATCTCTTCATGTTTAAGAGAGTTCGTCAGGAGCATCTATAAGACGTGGCTCCTTTCCCCTAAAATGAGATCTCGTCCAGGCTGATATTGCCAACATATGGATGTAATCTTTCACGCAAAGCTTTTTTGCAAATCGTTGTTGGAAGAGATGCTTTATACAGACTAACTTAATTTCAGCTGTTTGGAGTGTAAATGTCCCGCTTGATCCTTTAATTATTACAAAAGGAATAACCCGTGTTGCTCTGGTATTTGGCTATGCAGGCAGATCTTTGTGACAAGGATGCTATTGAAGCTGTTTTTGATAAGCATCGGTATGTTACTATGCTGGTTGTTAATAAAATTATATTAGGCTGTGTCTTGATTTGTTTCTTGTCCTTGTATTTGGGCAGCATCTCTGCATGGTTGCATAATCTCAGATTTGGTAACAGCGAGTAGGTCATGATCTCGGTTAGTTAATTTTTGCAGATTTGATGCTGTGATCCATTTTGCGGGTTTGAAGGCAGTTGGAGAGAGCTGTGCAAAACCTTTGCCTTACTACATTAACAATATCCTTGGCACCCTGAACCTTCTGGATGTTATGAACGTTTACAACTGCAAAAAGGTCTAGATCCACCGAGACTACTTTTGCCTTCGTATCATATTGTGTATTATCTATATGGTCCCATTGTTACGGGCTTAGACATTCGCTTTTGGGTTCCGCTGTGTCCGGTACAATTGCGATTTCCAGATACAGACAGCTTGTTCAAAAGCGATTGTCTTGTTCTGAAACTATTGACACTACTTTACCATGGTGGCATTTGTTCTTTCAGTTAAGCTCTTCTTTTCATGCATGTTGGTGGCATTTGGAATAGCTTGTATTTCTAATTAAGATTTGACCCTGATCCTTAGTAGCGACTGTGATTTCATTCTTCTCTTCTGTTTTGTAAGTAACAATGAGCTTCTGTTTTTGCAGCTAGTGTTTTCGTCTTCTGCAACGGTCTATGGACAACCGGAGAGCGTCCCAGTTACTGAAGAGTCCCGTCTCTTTGTTTTAAATCCATATGGTCGTACAAAGCTTCAGGTTGAAGAGATGATGCGGGACATTACTGCTGCAGATCCAGATTGGAGATGTATAGTGTTGCGATACTTCAATCCCGTGGGAGCACATCCCAGTGGCCGCCTTGGAGAAGATCCACAGGGCTTTCCGAACAATCTGATGCCCTTCGTGCAACAAGTGGCTGTGGGCAGAAGGAAAGAGCTGACGGTGTTTGGAACTGATTACAACACTAAAGATGGCACTGGGGTATGTACAATTTGGAAGTAATGGCAATAGAATTGTGTGGTTCTCACTTACCGTCGATTGATGCGTGTCTTGGATCTGTATTGACAAGCTAATTTTTTTTTTATGGATACCAGATGAACTTCACATCGTCCGTTTTAGGTCAAGATAACCATATGTTAATCTATTTCTGGTTTTACAGGTCCGTGATTACATTCACGTCCAGGACCTTGCGACTGGTCACAGCGCCGCCCTTCACAAGCTGTTCACAACGCCCGATATAGGTCAGTCATGTTCTATCTATTTTTAGACATATTGGAGTCTAACTAGACCTTGTCAGTTGTTCTTACTCAGTTGTACTTGTCCCCATCTGAAAATTATTCGTGGATGTACAGGATGCACTGCTTACAATCTGGGAACGGGGAAAGGGACTTCTGTACTTGAAATAGTTGCTGCATTCGAGAAGGCTGCAGGGTTGGTGAGTGTCTGTGCTTTTAGTCTGGTGATGGTGTTGTATCTATGACACGATCAAAGTATCTGTATTCTGCTATTCCGCTTGCGCTTAGACGACACTAACCTCAGTCTGACTGGTTGTAACAGAAAATACCATTACGAATTGCAGGCCGACGGCCTGGAGACTGCAGTGTAGTCTACACCGCTACAGAAAAGGCGAGGAAAGAACTCGGATGGAAGTAAGTTATTTAAACCACTCGATCATCCAACAACTAGTGTATTGGGTTGTACTGATCACTTGTTATCATGTACTCCATCTCATCGGTGCATTTGAGTTGGTGGGTTCATAGGCGCATTGTTGGATCAGGTTGCTCTTATCTAGTGCTCTTTTCGCTCGTCTGAGATTGATATATTTCTGTATATGTTGCAGAGCGCAAAATGGAATTGATGAAATGTGTCGAGATCAGTGGAAGTGGGCAAGCAATAATCCAGATGGATATCGATCAAGTCAGGAGAAGTCTCCAGCGAACGATTCCAAGCCTCTCGCGAATGGGAATCACGAAGCTGTTTTGAATACGGATACTGCTACTTGATATGACATAAAACTATTGTTTACGATACTTCCGACATTTTCCACTCCACTGTGGGCTCCGCCTGCCACATCGAATTCCGAACAGATCTTGGCAACGGTGAGCACAGTCAGAGTTAGTATTTTGTTGGCCAATTCTTTTCGTAAGCAATTATCAAAGAATCTAGCAAACGTTTTTGCTTAGATGTCAGACAACTCTTTATATTTAGAGAACTTAAATGACTGTGACCTGGAACGAGTAGTTGCCAGTCACGACGGATGCGTGTTAAGGTAAAGCAATCTTTGAGAATGGTATTAGATTCGAGAATTTTTCCATCTTAAATTGGATGCGAGTAGGTTAACTGATTGAATAGGTTTGGATCAGGAGAGGGTAACATATGCGCACTGTATGGCGATGGCATTCTCAATTCAATGTACAGAATAATTCTGTGAACTTGGTGGGGGATCGTTAGAAGTCTCTTTTGCCAGGAAAACCAATATCAATAAACCTTCAGCAGTTCTGTAGATCTTTTTATTTTTTTGAAGATATGATTTAGAGAACATAGCTAGCCAAATTATGTTCTCTCCTTCATCATGAACTGTAACCACCACTATCGTCCACTCCACCTGCTTGTCCATCAAATGCCCCAAACTGAACTTCATTGATGATAGTTTTTTAGTAGCAGCCTCTTCATTTATCTCCCGTAAAGTCCTCTCTGATAACATATCGACCCCTACATAAATTACTAGTCCCAGTGCCCAAAGCACACGCGCACGGTAGGATCGAAATGACCTAAGTATAATGAGCAGTAAGTTACGAATTACTCATCTGATTGATCGACGTTTTCTTTAAGTAGTCTCTAGTACAAAGAACTCAAATTATTCCTAAATATGGGGGGGGGGTTCCTCTGCAATTGAAATGAAGATGATTCTCTAAAAGCTTGAGAATAAAGTTTCTTTTTGTTCATGCTTAACTTCAAAGAAATTATTGTAAAATTCATGATGCCCCTGATTAGAATGGACAAACCAGAAATAGACACAATGGTCTTTTAAAAACTCTAAAAAAATACTTTGATAACAAAAATCAAAATCTTGAGGTTTAAGTCAAAGTTGTTATATCTTGTAAATTAAGAATTTATAGAGCAAGTTTAAACCATTAAAATTGTCGAAGGTAAAAACTAAGAAGCAAGTTCAGCCAAAATCAAAAAATAAGAGGGTAAAAAATTTGAAGCACATTAAATCCTAAATTTAACCATAAATCCTAAACTTTAAACTTTTAAATCTTAAAACCTTATCTCTAAATTCCTAAATCCTAAACCCAATATTAACTTTGATTTTTAGAGTTGATAAATTTGTTTCTAAAGTTTAGAATGGCTAAATTTGAAATCTAGGATTACTAAAATTATTCTTAGGATTTAAGATGGTTGATATGAAATTTTATGGATTCTAATTTTTTTTTTCTTTGAATTAGTAAAAGGTGAAAATTCGGAGTTAAAATAAGTTTCATTATTGTACAAACTAAAATCATCGATTGTTGTGTAGAAGTTAAAAATGTTTTAAAAAAAACTTCTAATATTCTAATGCATTTTATTTATTTTTATTTTTTTCTATTTAGAATTATGTAGGTGCTATTTTAGTTTAATTTCCACCTTTTTTTAAATCATGTACTAACTTAAAAGAAAGTCATAAAATTAATGAAGATATTATATTAGATCTTACAATCATTATGGTTTTTGTTAGAAATAACCATGATAAAAGATAAAGCTTTAAAAATCAACTAATATAGATGGTACAAACTAACTATGGCTTGATATTGACAGTCAATTCTAATAGTATGATGCTATGTAGAAAACAAGTTAATATTTTTATTTTTTCTTAGTCACATATATTTTATTACTTAGGTATAAAATTTTGTTGAATTCAAGTTTTTGGTATGAAGTGATAATTTTTATTATAGAAGTTAATATAGATTTATTTACAAAATATTATTATATATAAATACGCCCTTTTATTTTTCTAGATAAAAATATTTGTCTATAAAGTAGATTCTCTTGAAAGCAATGTTTGTTTTTTTAAGTTTAATAATATTTAATAAAAAAAAATCAAAGATTTGTTAAAAAAAAATATATGAGATGTGCAATGTGCAAAGATATGGTTCATTATATTTTAAACCAAATATAGATAATCATACAATCAAAGTTAAAGTCTATCAAGAGTTGTGTTTTCTAATATTGTCTATCATAAGATAACAAAATCTAAAGGCTTAAGCTACAAGCATACCCTAAGTTGCCATATGCACATCTATTATGTCTATATACACACTTGAAACTTTTGATTGGCTCATCTAGATCTCCTTTCCCTTGTCTTAGTGCAAATCTTGGTTCCGTATCATAGATATTTGAGTCACTGTAGGGAGGTTCATAATGTATAGTAGTCTTGTTTAGGCTTATTCAACAAATCTATGGCCTATGCTTTTATGGTAGCTTTTATATAAGAGCTTCCATCTAGTATCCACTCCATTATTGCTATGGCCTCTATCTATCTAGGGTGATATTTCAATTTAAGCATCAATATGTCTACAAATTTTGGCTTCTATTATGTTACCTCACAGAAGAGCTCATTTAGAATCTTAGCCATTGTGACTAACACATTTGTGTTGGAGCAAACAATAGATGTCAAAACTGACCTAATCGGAGTATTATTCACAAGAGCAAGTCCTTTCTTAAGTTCCAACTAGAATGGCTTTACTACCTCAACAATTTGTAGTACTTCATCAAAGGTCACCTCCTTCCTATGGCATGTGCTTTTGCAAGGGCCAAGACCTATGCCAAGACATAAAAAGAAGATATGGATGAGCCAATTAGAAGCCTTTGATGTGTGTATAGACATAATTGATATGCACAAAAGCAACTTAGGATGTGCTTGTAGCCTGAGCCAAATCTAAATGATATGTCAATAAGCACTATGAAGATTAGATTAAATTAAATATAAGATATATTAGCAATGGTGGAAGGAATGTAAAAATATATTTGCAAGAATTTTCTTTTAGAAATTATATTAAAAATTATTGTTCATATAGAAAAAATTGTAGATGGATATAAATTTTGTAATAATCTTAATTTTTTTTTTATTTAGAAATATTGAAACTGCATTAGAAGTTATTTTGATTATAAAGATGGATTTATTGAAATATTTTTTAGAACATGTCATATTATATTAGAAAAAATAGCAAATAAGATTATTGAAAGAAATTCATATATATCTTCTATTTGTAAGAAAAACACAATAGCTTTTGTTAGACAAGTACTATGGTGGAGTAGTAAGCACATGGAGCATTAACTTTAACAAGCAAGGAAATAGAAAAGTATCCAAAGTCATCAAGAAGTTTTGATAAAATAAAGCCAATATTTCTATGATAGTTGGAAATAAGATGATTCTAGTAGTTTTCGCCTTATCTTTAAATTTCTTCATAATATACATTAATTTGTTCATAATAAGGTGGTGGATAGAAGTGTGGATAGAGTAATATTGAAGAAGTCCAAAAGTAGTGGACATTGAAAGAAAGAAAGAAAGAAAGAATGTATAAAGATTGTATTAGAAGAACTTGCCACTTTATTAGAAAGTATGGTACAAATTATTGAAGAAATACTATAAGCATAACACAAGTAAGTAGAAATCAGCAAGGTTGCACATAAGAGAAGTGTGGAATGAGATGTCTCTTACTTCCAACACCCGTTACTTATAATCAGAGTTCACATCCAATATGTATAGACTTCATCCACATTCATCTATTACTAGCCCCCACTCGAGACCCTAAACTTAACCACCTCTTGAGACTCTAAACCTAGCCGTCTGTCGAGACCCTAGCCGCCACTTAGTCCTTATTTGACTTTGACCATTAGCAACTTACCTAAGAGAATATTCTCTATAAGATAACTTATTCTACTTTTACTATTACTTATTTATCTCAACACTCCCACTTTGCTAATTGTCAAAGCCCTTCAAACCTAATGCCTTTGTCAACATATGATGTCTTTCTTTGACCAATGCCTTTGTTAACAAATCAGCAAGCATATCTTCTGTTGCACAATACTTCAAGTCAATCACTCCCATTTCAATCTTTTCTCTTATAAAGTGATGTTGAATGTCAATGTGCTTGGTTCTTGAATGATGCTTTGGATTCTTTGCAAAAGCAAGGCATCCTTGATTGTCACAATTCAATGGAGTTGCTTCCAATTGCACAAGTCCAATATCCTCCAAAACTTGCCTTAACCATGTTGCTTCCATTGCACCCTGGCTTGCTGCCATGTACTCCGCCTCTATTGTAGACCTTGCAATTGTGGGTTGTCTCTTACAATTCCATGAAATTGCTCCCACTCCAACAAAGAATACATAGCCCGTTGTTGACCGCCTATCATTTACATCTCCAGCCCAATCCGCATCACAATAACCATGCAAAGTAATACTTTCACCTCCAAGGCACAATTTGAAGTCCAAAGTGCCTTTCAAGTACCTCATGATCCTCTTGATGGTTGCCCAATGAAGTGGTCCTGCTTTTGACATGTGTTGACTTACGACACTCACCGCATAAGCAAGATCCACCCTTGTGCCAACCATTGTATACATAAGTGACCCAACTGCTGCCTTGTATGGAACACCTTGCATTTGGCTTTCAACTTGTGCAAACTCTTCATCCGTGAGCTTCATCAACTTCAAATTGGACTCCAAAGGTGTTCCAATAGGCTTGCAATCCTCCATGTTGAATCGTTTCAACACTCCTTCAATGTACTTCTTTTGGCTCATTGTGATGGTCTTGTTAGCACGATTTCTTGCAAATTCCACTCCTAAGCAATAGTGAAGCTCTCCCAAATCACTCATCTCATATTCCTTTTCTAACTTTACCTTCAACCAATCCATCATCTTTAAAGTATTGGTTAAGATGATTAAATCATCTACATAAAGGATAACAATCATCAAGAACTCTTTTGATTGTATCACATACATAGAATGATCAGCCTCACTTCTTTGGAATCCCTCATTAACAAAGAATGTGTCAATTCTTTGATACCATGCCCTTGGAGATTGCTTGAGTCCATACAAAAATTTCTTCAACTTACAAACAAGATGTTGCTTGCCTTCTTCTACAAATCCTTGAGGTTGATCCATGTAGATGTCTTCTTCCAACTCTCTATTCAAGAAAGCCGTCTTCACATCCATTTGATGCATCTCTAAGTCCATTGCTGCCCCAATTGCCACAATGGTTCTAATGGTGGTGAACTTAGCCACGGGAGCAAATGTCTCATTGAAATCAACACCAGTAACTTGTGAGTATCCTTTGGCAACTAGCCTTGCCTTATATCTCACAATATCACCCATTGCATCCCTCTTGGTTCTAAACACCCACTTACAACCAATTGAAGATCGATTTGGTGGAAGTTGAGTCAATTCCCATGTTCCATTGCTCATGAGAGATTTGTACTCTTCTTCCATAGCCTCCTCCCACTTCAACGCATTCGTAGACTTCATAGCATCA